AAACCAGTTCTTCTAGGACATATCCTCCCTCCTCAGTGTTGTATCTTAGTCTTAATATCTTGGTCTTCAGTTTCCACCTTCTATTACAAGGGCACAAATGTTTTGCCCAGACAGTAGCCTCCTTTACTTGGTGTGTATAAATGATAAATGCTGAATGAGTCACCTGGTATGAAGCACTAGCATTACTATCATTATGCATTATCTTGTAGATACACCAGAGGGCAGGATTTAAATAGCATAAATATTCTTCATAGCTTAAATATTCAGCAACTAAGTGGTCCTTTTGATACACTTATTGCAATCTGGTTTTAAGAAGGCAAGTAATCGCAACTTTGCTTGCAGTGTATGAATAACAATGGCACTAAGTCAGGATATATCTAGTTCTAGGAACAGTAATTTTAAAATCTGTTTAAATATTTATTTCAAATTGCACCTACTAGTGATGTCTCCTAGCCAGAGAACAAAATATATACTATTCTTTATAGTAATTATTGTCATTCTTATTAAATGAAGAGCTCACCAGGGCAAAAAAATAAAAATTTAAGGCAGTGAGTTTTGATTGATATCATCGAAAAAACTGACCCATAGTGTAAGTCCTCTGACATTTTACATTCATGTACTCTAGAATATCCACCTTCTTTCATACTTGTATAGATTATATCCCATTGGCATTCAGTTGTGGCTTTGCAAACAACAGAATAATAATTTACTTTGTCTTCATACAGAAGCTCTCTCGTCTTTGTCAACTCTCTCTTTTTATTCCTTCATTACCATCTTTGAGTTTCAGTAATGAGAATAGCAGGAAGTATTCAAGGAGGGCAGATATGTACCAGTAACAAAAGCTATACATTATTTTTCCAGTAGAACAGATGACTTAGTATGTATGCAGGAACTAAAGGCTTTTTTACTTGAAATTCACTAGCAACATAAAATGAGTTGTACAGATAAAACTTTGTATTGCAGACTAGAACTTAGGTATGGTCATGTAACGGGTGGATTTAGACTGATTCAGTAGTCCTGGCAGCAGAATACGTAGAGCATCTGGTTTAGAGTATGTGGTTCAGGGCAGCCATTGGAACACTGCTGTACTGAAAAGCTTTGCAGGAAATATTAATGTTAAAACAGTGCTGTAAATCTGGACTCGTTACTTCCATCAAATTTGATTTCTAAGTGAATACAAAACTATGAAAATATATACTAAAAAGACTAGTGACATAAAAAAAAAAAGCTCTGAATTGTAAATCAACAATCCTGTTGTGGAACTGTCAAGATTATTACTGTACTTCCAAACCACAGTAAGAAGGGAAGATGAGCTTAGGCTGTTTCTAGAGACCAGTTACAGACCAAAATGTAACAGATTTATGGATGTTCTAGCCAGAGAAATACAACTAAACTTGAGCCTATTACTGTCCAACTATAGCATGTGCATCAGAACTACCAGGGTTCATGTATATTTGACTAGTCAAATTGTTATGTCTAAAGTGTTAACATTAAGTGTTAACATTTTCTGATCTCTGCCAGATGAGAGTCATAGTTGCAGGGTTCCCGAAAAAAGTGAGAAATCTTTGAACACATCTGGAAATCCATTCATTCAATTCTGTTTTGGCACACTGTGAAGATAAAACTTGCCATCTGCTGGAAAAGGCTTTTTTCCCCTTTTAGCTATTGATGAGATAAGCTGTTTGCAGTCTTGATCTGAGCGTGCATAAGGGTAAGAATAAGTATGTGAACAGTATGAGTGATCTGTATGACTAATTTGTTGCTAATGAAATATTTGATCATCACCAGTGTCTCTAATATAACAGATGCTGGATGCTAACAATTATTATCATTTGTAGCACTAACAAATATTTAGTGTAAAAATCTGTATTCCATTGAAATTCTTTGTTTTCCATGTGTGTAATGAAGGCAAAATTTACTTAATGAAGAAAATCAGCTTCAAGAAAGATGACACATATTTGACAGGAGACAATGTAGAAGTTTTTGGAAGGAAGCTGCAGCTGCTGGGCCAGCAAATCCTTCCTGACTTGAACAGGGTGAAGAGTGTGAGCAGTGGTAATGGGTAGGATTTTTTTCTGTTAGCAGCATGTTCCTTCAGTACATTTCATGTTAACAATATGAACAGACTGGCAGATCTGTGTAGGAGTGGTACTGTGTAGTCATAGGGCAAAGGTACAGCTCTCACATAGAACCTGTCATGGCTTAACCCCAGCCATCAACTAAGCACTGCACAGCCTCTTGCTTATTCTCCACCCTCATCAGGATGGGAGGAACAGAATCAGAAGGGTAAAAATAAGAAAACACATGGGTTGAGAGAAAAACCGTTTATTATTTTTTTTCTATCTATTTTACCTAACCTATTTTAATTAACCTATTAATTTTTTAAACCAATAACAATAATAATAATATTGTAATGAAAAGGAAAACAGCAAGAGAAATAAAACCCAACAAGTGTTGCAAATTAAAACAATTACTCACCACGAGCTGACGCATACCCAGCCAGTCCCTAAGCCGTGGCCCCAAAAACAAGCTTCTTCCAGCTTTTCATCCTGATCATGATAGCATATGATCTGGGATATCCCTTTGGTCAGCTGGGGTCAGCTGTCCTGGCTGTGTCCCCTATCAACTCCTTGTGCATCCACAGCCCACTCCCAGCTGGGGTGAGATGAGCAGAAAAGGCCTTGACCCTGTGTAAGTACTACTCAGCAACAGCTGAAATATCCCTGAATTATCAGCACTGTTTCCAGCATTAATTCAAAACAGCCCCATACCAGCTACTGTGGAGAAAATCAACTCTGACCCAGCCAAATCCAGCAACAGAAACAGATTAATGTTATTTCCATCTTTGCTAAGAGCTAAGATTTCTTTGAGTTCCTTAGTACCTGTCTCACCCTTTAATTTAGTTAAGGTTACATATCATATCATACTCATGGCTCACAACACACACAAACAGATAATAGTGTTTGCAAAGGTGTATTTCTAGTTGAATGTCTCCTTATAAAGGGATATACCCTTGGAGAAGCAGAAAGTGGTGCTTAAGGAAGTGTTTAGTCTATCAATAGAGAGACCTTGCACCCAGGCTACATGAAGGATGTTTTACTGACCTTAATGAAGACAGATACTTTCTTTATGTTCATTGGTCACTTGTGCCTTATTCTTTTCCTCCCTATTCTTTCCCTTTCACCAACATTTTAATGAAATCAGCAGGAAATGTCCTCTACTTACTTAAAAGCTTAAGTACTCAGCTTACTTACAAGCTCCTAGTCAACATATCCCAGCCACTTGAGCTAGTGTGGTATTTGCTGCTGCAGCTGGATTCTACTAAGTCTATAGGGCCTGGTGGGATTCATCCCAGGGTACTCAAAGGGATGATGTCATTGTGAGACCTCACTCAATGATTTTTCAATGGTCTTGGGAATCTGGAAAGGTTTCAGTTGTCTGGAAGCTTTAAAATGTTGGCCAAATTTTCAAGAAGAGATAGATGATGACTATTAACTACAGATCTGTCAGTCTCTCATCAGTGCCTGGTAAAATTATGGATATTATTATTCTGGGAAGTAATGAAAAACTCCTGAAGGACAATACAGACATCATCAGTCACAGCCAACATGCCTTCATGAGGGAAATATCCTGCTTGTCAAAGTTAATTTCCTTCTATGACAAGGTAACCCACCTAGTTGATCAAAGGAAGCCAGTTGATACAATCTTTTTGGATTTCAGTAAAGTTTCTTATATTGTCTTTCACAGAATGCTTTGGACAAAATGTCAGTCACACAGCTGGATAAACATATCATGTGATGGGCGAGGAACTGGCTCAGGGGTCAGGCACAGGGTTATAGTGATCTGGTGACTTGTCTCTAGTGGGGTTCTGCAGGCTCTGTCTTCAGCCCTGTGCTCTTCAACATCTTCATAAATGATTGGGACACATGTCTATAAGGTATACTAAGTAAATTTGTTGATTACGTTAAATTGGGAGGAGCTGTTGACTCCATCAGAGATGCCCTGCAGAGAGAAATTGATTCTCTAATTGAGAAATTAGAGGGCTCAGCAATCACCATTTGTATGAAGTTTAACGTGGGCAAGTCCCAGATTCAGCACCTGGGATAACCTTGGATGTAAGGACAGACTGAGGAACGAGAGGCTAGAAAGGGCTCTAGAGGTCCTGGCTGACAGGAAGGTGATGATGGTAGTGTGTCCTGGGAGCCAGGAACAGGCACTGGAACAAGCTCCCCAGGAAAGTGGTCACACCCCAAGCCTGTAAGAGTTCAAGAAATAATTGGACAATTCCTTCGGCACGTGGTGTGATTTTTGATGTTGGCTTATGCAGGGCTAGGAATTGGACTACATTCTTGTGGGTCCCTAACGACTTAGGATATTCTGTGATGCTCCCCTGTGACCAAGGTGCTGAGGCAGTGCCTATCCAGGAGGATGTCTGCTACCTTCTGCTGGGCATTTGCACTTAACTCCCTCAGGGCATGTTATGATTCCTTGAGACTTATCATTAACATGTTTTTTTCACTTAACACTGTGATAACACAGTTTTATTCTGAAGCTTGCCAGTAGATTGAGAAAAGATAATTTCCATGCAACATTCTGGAAGCTGCCTTCATGATTGCCTTTTAGATATCCTGTCTGTGTCTGATGCTTCAGAAGATTTAAAAAGTAGGAAGAATTTCTGAGGAAACCAGCTTAAGAAGATTTTTTCTTTTTTCCTTTTTTCCTTTTTTCCTTTTTTTTAGGTTTTCTTTTATTATTGTAATTGCTAATATAGTTACCACCTTTGAGTCCTGCAGTCCTGGCAGACTCTCAAACCATCAGGTCAGACTTCAGTTCTAGCCTGCAAGTGATGTTGTACTGCTCTCACGTTTCTGATCTAGCCAGTGCTGCAACATTAACACAGACAGATGTAGGTTGTATAAAAGCAGGTTTTTTAAAAGCAAAAGTGCAGTTACTTAATGTGGAAAAGCACTTGTGCTCCCAGCCTGACACTGTCCCTTTAATATAATGGCTTGGTCTCTCACTCAGCCCTGGCCAAGTGCCCAGCTATCTTAGTTTAAACTGTAGCCAACTAAACAGCAGCAATAAAAGATAAAATATCTATATGCAAGGTAGAGCCATTTACAAGTGGATAGGCTACTTATTTGTAGATTGTTTTATTTTGGTAAAAAATCCATATTTTCCAGCATGACCTACAGGACATATTTTCTACACTGAAATCTTTCTAAATCCACAGTCTGCTTTCTGGATGCCTTCAAAGGTAAGAGACTTTGTTATTTCCTCTCTGGTTTTAGAGGACTGCACTTACAGTTTCTATATATATATGTATGTATATATTTTCTGCTTGATGGACTTGAAAAGAAGATTTAGGAAGGATTTTTACATTTAACATATTTTCTTCATTATTGATGATATTTAAAATTAACTTGTAAATCACAGACTTTTTTTGTGTAAAGCAGTTTTAATTCAGTATTTAATTTAGTTCAGTATTCTCTAAAAATATGTTGAATTGCCCATTTAAACATTCTCATTTTCATTTTAACAGTATATTGTCATTATAATAGAATATTATCTTTTTGAAAAATACTGCACAGATTCTGTAACATCCATGTAATATTAATATTTCATTATTAACTACTAATTTCATTAGTAAGCCACTGTTTCTTAGAAGAATAAATTATTCATACTGATGCTCCAGACTTTTTGTTAAGAAAGAAAAGGCAGTGTTACACCCATTTTCTTCTGTAATAAACAGGTTCAACTCTCCATGTGAGCTACAGTTGAAATAGTGCTGGTAACTGTGCTTCAATTACCTACACAGTGACTTTTTATAATTGTTTTCTATATATTTTTCTCTGGAACTATTCTTCCCATGAATATGCATTTAAAGTATATGTATTTGTTTATTTGCTTCTGTTAATGAGGTATTCACAGCTGGCTTTTTACTTTTAACAGGAAGGAAAGGTCTATTTGGGATGAAAGTTATTATGAGAAAAAAATGTTTTTTCTTTTGCTTTATACTTCTGGCTATGATAACAAACCAGATAGTACATGGACAAAACAGAAAAAAAGGAAAGAATATTTACTCTCCTATGCCAAAAGATGAAGGTAAAACCATTTTCTTAAAATTTCTGATTGACTGTGTTGCATGTATCCATGCATTTTAGCATAATTATGTAGTAATTGATAAATTTAATGTAAATATATAAAATATTATTTATTTTTATTATAAAGGCTAGAAAATACTTTTTGACAACTTGGACATGGATTCCAGTTTGACCAATGATTTTCATTGACATGTATATCTCTTAAGAGAAATTATAGGAGACCTGATTTTTTGTTTGAAATTGCATGTGCATTTTCTATACAAAATTTACTAAAATACTAAAACATATCAAAACCCTAACTTGACTATTTTCATTAGAATTCCTTGGATTTTTACAGTGAAATTTATTGTTAAAATTTTTACTGAGAAGAGAGAGGAATCTTTGTGAAAACTATTTTTGCTGAGAATTATCTGAAATCTGTTGTGCAGGTATTCTCATCATTCATAGATTTCACTTTCTTGTTCCCTTACAGGTGATATGTGTCTTGTTGATATAGTCTTTATCTTGGACAGTTCAGAAAGTGCCAAAAATCAGTTGTTTGATTTACAGAAGAATTTTGTTCAAAATATAACTGACAGCATTTTCCAGATGAAGCCAGTTAAGTCTCACATGTATAATGTCAAACTAGCAAGCATGCAGTTCAGCAGCACAGTTAGCATTGATCATCCCTTTACAGCCTGGAAAAATGTCCAGAATTTTAAGGAGAAAATCAGTTCTCTGGGCTTTATTGGCCATGGCACTTATTCCTATTATGCAGTTTCAAATGCCACTCAGCTGTTTAAAACTGAAAGTCGTAAGACAAGTGTGAAAGTGGCTTTTTTGATGACTGATGGTGTGGATCATCCAAACAGCCCTAATGTCCAAGGGATAGCCGCAACAGCTAGAAGTATTGGAATACATTTTATTACCATTGGCCTTTCTAAGAAAACAGTCCAAGAAGAAAAATTGCGCTCGATATCTGGTGATTCGTCCTCTAAACATGTTCTATGCCTGGATGATCAGAACCTGGTAGTTGATGTAGCATTGCAACTGGTAAGTTGTCCTGATGTTAATATTGTCGTGTGTCTATCCTTGGCAGATTTCATCTAATTTTGATTAGGTAAGCCCTGAAGACAGTGCAGGGTTTTGTGGTTTCTTCTCTGCTACAGCAGGAGTCAGGGCAGATGGAACTTCCTTTTCTCAGCCACTCTTCAAGGAGTTGTGTGTTTGGACAATAGTAGCTCAGCTGTCCTGATCACATTTCCCAGCACACAGAGTTGTCTCTCAGCATATGAAAATACTTTAGACGGTAGCTTGATCTCATGCATAATTACTGAGTCCCTTCCCTATGTATTGTTTGTAGGGCCTTTCAAAGGAAGTCTCTGATTAGGAAGTCTTTTCACAGTCCCTGTTGTTAGCACTGTGCCTTGCTTAGCTATGCTGTTAATTCTCATGTGTTGTCTGATCACTGAGTTTCACATGGAATAGCCCTCTCTTCCTACCAAGAACTCCTTTCTGTATGAGTAATTCCGCAGACTGGTTCTTGCTCATTTGAGGAAGGAATGAAGGATGAGGGTATTTACCAACTCTACCATTCTTCTTGGATTCTATAAACTAGAGAGGAAAACTTAATACTCTGTTAAATTAAATAATATCTATATGAAAATATTATTTTTATTTTCTTTTCTTTTCAGGAATCCTTGCTCCAGAAGCAGGTAGGGTTTTTGACCTTTGTGTGTGATTGCTCTTATTGACACTAGACTTCCCAAAGTCTGCTTCTTCTATAATGCAACAATATTTGAGAATTAATCAATCTTCCATCTCTTGTTAAATTTTCCGACCATGATTACTTTTATTTTAACTTTCCTGAATTTCTTCTGTCCTTTCTCTTGAGAAATCTACAGTGTTAGCTCATTAGTGAGTAGTATCAATAGTAAGACATAAAGAATTCTTCCTACAAGAGTGGAATAGGTCTAATGTAAGATATGCAAATTCATTTGTGGTCTCATTAGAAAACAATAACAATGTTAAAATGGTTCAAAATTTGTGTAAGGTTTCCCAGTACTGTGTACTATGTATATGCTATGTTAAATATTTGTAATTATTACAGTGACTACAGTCTCTACAGTAAGAGGGTTTTTTTTGTTATAAATAAATCAAGTAACACATTTTGGTTGCTTTGTATGGAAGTTTAATGTTGATTTTATGAGAAATAAATATATTGGAACATCATTTATTCCTATGATTCCATTATTACGTTATCTGTGGCTAGGCAAAACCATATTTTTTTTTCTTTAAAAATTTGAAGTAATATATTTGAAAAACATTCTCCTTTATCTATTAACCCTGTAGTGTGTGCGGAAGACCTGTGAGTGTGGAAAGGGACTAAAAGGAGACAAAGGTGATTCAGTAAGTATGCATTTATATGAGTAGGCTCAAGAATTTTACTTTTAATCAAGATCAATTCTGCAGAGTACTTTAATTGGTTACTATGTGAACTATGTACAAAACAAGACATTAGCTGTGCCCGTACTGCAAAAAGATTGATTTATTGTAGCATGTCATGTTGGCAGTGAAAGGCCACTGTTCAAAGAGCTCAGAAAAAAAATCTATCCATAGTCAGATACTACCCTGAAAATATATTTCTATTATTGAGTAATAAAACACTGTGGATAAATAGATTATTCTGGAGCCCAAATAAAAAAGTTATTCTTGAATCTTGCAATGGAAAAGGAAAGGTCCATTAGACAAAGGTTTTCGCTTCCCACCAAATTCTGTTTTTGTAAGGGGTAAAGTTTCAAAAGTCTAAGGGTAATGGATATATGAGGAAAGGTCTAAAACTCTGCCTCCAACACTCTTTTCTCTTGTGACACTTCAGCACATTATTTCTTGGCTCTAGTGAGGAACAGAAAAGTGTGAGTTCGGACAGTGGGTGACCTCTCTGACCATTTTTCTATCTTTAATAGTTCCCCCAGAGACAAGCAAGGGACATTCAGATGTTTTTGTCTTTCCCCAAAGACTCTAATAGGTCAACCATACTATTAGTAGCTTATGATACCAGGGCCCATCATTCAATCCTTGTGGATAATGTGCATCTGGATAATGTGTACCAGAACCTCTGTTTGCAATTTAAAATTTTATGTCCAAGAACTTTTAAGTTATTTTATCCAAAATTATTAGATGTAGCCTGTTATACAGATACATATACACCAAAATTTCTAGTCCCCAACATCATGATCCTCCAAAGAGTAATAAAAAATGGTGCAGTACTGTCTCCCTGAAAACTCAGCTTCTGAGCTTGCTAACATAGTTTTCTAAGGACTTTCCCAGGACAGTAACTGTAAACATAGATATGTGTACATTCTTTCTGTTCCACTGCTTGTAATGGGCACCTCTCATGGCCAGTGCAGTGAGAAAGTGTTATCCTGACCATCCAATCCCTGGCCGTGGTAGGAAGCCTATAAATCCTGGGAGGAAAAATAAACTCTGCTCTTTCTTGCACCACATCTCAACCTGTGTTCACGTGATCTATTGATCTTCAGCGGTAACACAGTACTTTTTTCCTTAGGACTGCTGAACATTGACCCTAAACTGTTCTGTACAGTTTATTTTCTAAGCAGAGGAGATGAGACAGTGGTGATTAATTGAGAAATAGGAAGGAGGAACTGTATTTGTTTTCTGTAATGCCATCCTGAGTAGATTTTTCAGATGCTCTGTAGAAAATTTATTTATCGTTGAGTCCTGTTTAAAAAAAAATTTGTAGATACCTTATAACACCAGAGTGAGTTTAGCTAAATGAATTTCGTGTCACATGTACAATACTTGAATCAGTGGGGGTTTCTACCAAAGCTTATTCCATAATGATTTTGGACTAAAATATAGACTTAGACAAGCTGGAGAATTTTATTCTCATAATGATAATAACATTTTCCTGCTTTGTTTCAGGGCAGTGCTGGCAGCAAAGGGGAGAAAGGTGACCCAGGACCAAAAGGAAACAAGGTAATGTGAATTTAAAAGAAATAAAGCAAATTTCTATCCAGTTATTCAAACCATAGATGAATACAGCAAAGAAAAAGTATGTAAAAATAAGTTCTAAATGTTGAGGTTTGCTAGTTTATAGTTAGCTGCTTTAGAAGTGTGAGATAAAAATTTAGAACTGAACTGCTATCAAGTTAACACTGCCTATCATACTAGTTTTTCTCTGACAGCAGAGGTCTCTGAATATAGCTGAAGGCTCTTTAGGTTCCACAGAGCTTTCTAACAGTACACAGATTCCTAAATCAGAGTGCTTCACTCTAATAACTAAGATTTCAGTCATCTAATGACAATAGTTGAGTTTTCTATGTTAATGATCAGGAAATGTGTATCCTTGATTGTGGAAGGAGGGAGTGTGAATGTTAGTAAACAGGAACAAACAGTTCTGCTTGTTTAACAGCGTTATTTGTTTTAGTGCAATAAGGATAAATGAAAGGGCAATATGTATTTCAGTTGTATTCCTTTGCTTCCAATAGGGTGATGCTCAAAAAGGAGATCATGGAGAGAAAGGTGAAGAGGTATGTGAGTACTACAGTGCTAACTCATATTTTGTCTTTTCAAATTTTTCGAACTAAAAATGTTATTTTCATTTTTTGTGTGTCTACTTTACTCAATTAAAGCACTTAGACTAAACCAGGCTGTAGCACTACACTACAGCCTAGTTTGCAGAAGCTTGTATACTGAGAGAAACAGTCTAACCATGTGCTTAAATACAGAGAGGAAATGCTACTGGGAGCTTCTGGAGCTGTGTGATTTTAAATTGACTTGCATTAGACTTATCCCAAAGACAGACCTGATAAAAACACTACATAGTCCTTCGGCGGCTTCTAACAACTGATAATTCTCAGGATTCCCGTTGATTCACTGGAGAAAGATTAACACTATACCCTGTATAAGAGTAACTCAGTTTAAAAGTCCCATTTAAATGGCAGCAGGTATCTACTAGGAGGCTGCCAAACTAAGTGGCATATTTGCAGCTAAAATATGAGTAAAAAATCTACATCTAGATTTGAAGAGAATTATATGTTAAACAATTTCAGAGAGATATTTTATTGTTGTGAATAGTAAAACTTCTGAAACATAGTTTCAGAACACAGTTTTACTGGGTGAAGGATTGGGGATTTTTCTACTTCAATTAGAAGTATGTTAGGCCTTTGCTTCGTCTTTTATGACTTTTTCCTATTTTCAATTTTTGAATAGGGAGCTCCTGGCTACAAGGGAGACAAGGTAAGTTTTTTGTGGAATAAAAGTAGTCTGAAAATAAATTGTCACTTGCTGACAGTGTATGTGAAAGAATGGAAAAAAGAGCTTGTCTTGTCTATTTGTCATGAAAGCTTCTAATGCAAACCCTAGAAAAAAATTCAAAATTTGTGCAAATGCTTACAGACTGCATTGCTGGAAATAAAACAAAAACCCCACAAAATCAGAGAATGTAATCTGAATATAAAAAAAAGTGTCAATGACCAGAAATACAGTTTTTGGAAGGAAAAGAAGTGGGGTTAGAATAAGAAGGTGACTAGAAAGAAAGGAAATGTTCACTACAAAAACAATGTGAAATCATTAGCTTTTGAAGAACTTACCAAAAGGAGGCTTACTTTTAACTTACAAGGGCTACTGCTTGATCAAGAAAATTTTCAACATAGTCTCTCCAAGAAAATAAGCAAACTATACATTTCAGTGACTTGCAGGATTCTAGAGATGAATTGCAAAGTGGACCATCATAGAAATGAAACAGAGACAATCCCATTTTTACTTTTCTTGGTTTTGACACTACATTGTTAATAAAAGCAGTGCCTCTATGAACCTTTGTATTCATTAGTAAAATGTTTCAATAAATTTTGTGGTAAGTTTTTATGAAAATGGGAATAGCAGACTCATAGGTCTACTTTTCATGTGTCTATCGATATGTTAAATCATCACTGAAACACTTAATTCTTTCTTCATTCCATATGTGCCATCTCACAGTTGTTACTCAGGAAAATCTCAGGCATCACAGTAATGAACAGAGCATGGAAAGAATCTCTGGAGATAGTGTAGTGAAGCAGAAAACTGCTGCAAAACTTATTCATTATAAAATGTATTATCCTCTGATATAAGTTGGATGTTTTGCAATTATTTTCAGAAATATCTTGAGTAGAGAAATCTTATCTTCTACAGACCATATACAGTGATGCCACTTCCAGGTCCTCAGAGTCAACTAAACCTCTTGTGCTACTGCTTGCAGAGTCTTTAATGCATGTAATGTAATCAAATCATCTTGTTTAGCTGTGAACCCTTTGATTTCTTGTAAAGGGTGAAAGAGGAGAATGTGGACCTCCAGGAACAAAAGGCGAAATAGTAAGTATAATTTTTATTTGAAGTGTTTTGTGTTGATGAAGATACTAGAAAATCATGTAACATATTCATAAACAGTCTGAAAAGATTATTGTAAATTTGGAATACCTTATAATTCCCTAGTGGTAGAGATACATTCATAGTAGAAGTATGATTTGTGGAAACTGAACCCACAGTTCACCACATTATTTTTTTCCATTTTGCATGAGAAATGCAGATCCTCACCTAAAATAAAAGCTGCCCTGACCAATGCCAAGCCTTGCTTACATAGGACTGAGCATCTTATGGAGAGCACCCCATTTATTTCCTTAGAAGTTTAATTTCAATTTGGGAGTATAGTTATATATAGTTATATTACAATAAAAGCAGTTTCCTATCCGACATGAAAAACTTTCAGGTCTATGAGCCCATCTGTGCTGATATGAATTCACACTTCTATCCAGTGTGTTAACCTGGAGTGCAGAAGTGTTGCAAGTGAATACAGATTTTTACCTGCTTTATTTATATTCTGAAAGATGGAAGAATCATGTATTGCTAAGTGACATAATTATGTATCTTGAGTTCATACAGGCAAGTTTGTATGAGTCATGAAAACTGCTGATTTATAGTTAGAACTGCTAAGAACTACCAATTAAATTGCACTTATTGCTCTATTAAACCAGATTTCTTCAGTTTTACCACCCATGTTATGCTTACCTTTATCAAAGACCGCCTTGAAAAGTTTTTGTTTTCCTAGAAGCTGCTATTTTATGATTAATTTCAGGCAGGAATTAATAAATATTCATTCCAGAAGTATTTATCGCAAAGAAAAAAGGGCATTATACAATAATAAAAATCTAAAGGCTGAGAATATCTTGTGGGATACTGTGGTTCAAAATGGCAGCAAATTTCAGACTTCAGTGAGTCAGAAAAGTCAAAAATACCAGTTGAAAATGAGAGAGCTGCATCTATCAGAGGAATAAAGAAAGATCATACCTTCTTTATCCAGGCATGTGAGAAATAGCATGGTGTTATATGAAATGTCTACTAAGCTAAAAGGAAGCTGTTCAGAAGCTGGCAAAGAATCAAAGCAGCCAAGAAATCTGGATATAGGAAACATGCCAGGGCTGCCAGAAATCTGCTTTCTTCATTTCTGTTGAGGACAGTGATGAAAACAACTTTGTCCTCTGCAGGGGATCAGTCAGTTCCAGAATTCCCACCTTCACATTCACAAATCCTGAAGACAGAACAAAATTATGGCTTTATTTTTAAAGAAAGCATTCTAGGCTAGATAAAATCAGACACAGAACATGTATAGCCAAATGTATGAGAAGCAAATCCATTATTCTGAGGTCAATCTTTAACTGGGGTGATGGCTACTGAAGCATGATTGGGAGTCCAATTTGAAAATGTTGCATTTATTACCACTTTCTCATCTCACTAATCAGACTGAATCCAGTAGTTTTGGTGCTGTATATCAGAGCTTTTCCAAATGCTGTTCAAGCTTGAAATTCAGACAATTCCTGTTTGGCTTTGAAATCAGAACTGACTCAAGTCATACATTTGTATGCTACCAAAAGTAGCCATCATTGCATCAGCATATCACCGTTTGTACCATCCATTGCTTACGTAGTTGGGCTGGAAATGGGCTGGAACTGAGAGGGGTTATCTCTCTCTCTGGTGGCTGATGCTTGGCCTGGGAGCCAATGCCAGGGAGCAGAGAATTGTTTATAATTTCTGACTCTGAATCCTGGCGGGGGGCAGTCAGTGGAGTGTCTGCATAGGTATCACTGATAAATTTGTCAAGGCTATTAGAAGTTCAAAATGTGACACATATCTTGAAAAATGCAGCAGTCTGCCAGTGCCTCTGCCTGTAGAGATGTTACTAATTAAAAGGGAAGTAAGAGAAATATAAAACCAGTAAATTTGCTCAAAACTATTTTTGCTTTAGAAATAATTTATAAGCAAGTATTGACTCAAGTTGAAGTGAAATATGCATTATGGTAATTAAACAAAAAACACTGAAGAAGAAAGATTTTTGAATAATCTGCAGTGGTGGTGACTGGTAAGAACTCATTAAATGTAGAAAGCTAGTGGAATAAAAAAAACGTGGCATTTTAAATTTTTTAAATTTTTTGGTTGGATTTTTAATGGATTTTGTGAACTATTAGTGTGATTCTGCCAGGCTCCTGATTAGCAGTTTGAGTTAGTGAGACAAAATTACCTGAAGTTATTCTGGTATAGACACTGCAGCATTTTTATTAAGGATTCTATATATAATATGCTTCTAGAAATTACATTTAAAAACCTGTAGCAAATAAGAACTTCTTAATCAAATAGCTAAGATGTTAAGTAGACATTCACTATGCTTCTGGTATATGAAAAGCGTTTTAACCAAATATTGAAGGTGGAATGTAACAGGCAGTTACTGAATACCATATGAGCACAGTAGTACTCTGGTAAGAGAATAAAGTCTCTAGAAAATGCTTGAACAGAGATTTGAGCCATTACATGTGCATGTCAAGTGTTTGATATTTGAAAGCATATAGAAATTTCCTTTTAATCTGATAATTGAATCTAATTTTTCCTCAGGGTTTGCAGGGCTCTGTGGGCCCTACAGGACCTCGGGGACCTCAGGTAAGGGAACGAAAAGCTACCAGATAAAAAGATTATATTCTTTAAGTTTCTTCTGCATGCAACTTGTCAATTCTGTGAAAAACAGCCATGCTTTTCTGCTGTCACTGGTTTTTGCATATTAACAATATTCAATGTGTTGGGCACTTCACAGAGCATGATGCAGAAAATTCTTGTCCTTTAGAGCTTAGAATTATGCTATATTATACTGTGCCCCATTCAGGGGAAGTAAAACCCCAAAATTTATACATGTCTTTGCTTTGACTTTTTTGTAGGGTATCAGGGGAGATCCAGGTCAGCAAGGCCCAAAAGGCATTCAAGGAAACAAGGTAAGATGTAGTTGTATATGTGTAGTTAAATATGTTATTTATATAGGGAGAGAGCATGCAGAAACTCTGTAGAACCTTTATCCTTTACCATCCTTTTTTGTCAGTAGGTTTTTTATTAGTGGTGTTATTTGCACAGCAATAAAGTCCCCACCTGGGTCGTGCACTACTGTGTGATGAAGGCTTGATATTGTTATCACATGCACCCACTTTCTTATCTGGTCTCCAAGAATATTTTTAGGGCTACGATGGGATTCAACCAAGGACCTCCCTAGAGCCACAGCACTTATGTCAGAATTTCAATCACGTGAATATGTGTCTTGACTTTTGCCATCACTTGGGAAGCTTTTTTTCGAGAATATTTTTGCCTACAATGCCTGTGTTTAAAGATTTTAAGTATTTCTAGGTGAAGGTTAAAACATTCAGTCTGAGTAGTTATAATAATTTTTAATTGCCTGTGTACTGTAAAAACTCAGGACAACTTTGAAATTGGCTGGGGTATGAGATTTTATGACAATTAATGCCTTAGTGTTATCTAAAAGAGACAATTTAGAGTTAATGTCTACACCTTGTCAAGCAAAATCAGTTGGATAAAATGTCCAGTTCATTTAGGAAGTAGTCTGGTTTGCAAAACTTTGGGAAATTTCTTTATGTGAATAAGGCTATCTTGCCCACTGGAGAGTTATTAACATCAGTATTCGGTACAGAAAGATCTTTCATTTATCAGTTTGATACAAAGACTTTCTACGACAGGATCATTGATAGTGTGGCTAACAATCTAAGTCATACAAGACAAATTCATACAAAGCTGCTTTGTAAAAGATGTACCATAAAAACACTTGTGTTTTGTTTCTTAGGCAACAATTTAATTAGAAAATTCACAGAAATAAATCTAGATATGGGGAATGTTTATTATAAAATTTTGGAATATTGCCATCCATCATGGTTTTCCTCTTCCTGACAAATGGTTTTTCATAGTCTCATTTCTTATTCTTCTCAACAAAATGCTTGATCGGGAAATCTGCTGCAGAGTACTTGAGAAATGGAAAAAGAAATAGGATGATGAGTTTGAAAGAAGCTATTCATACATGTGGTGGAAAAATCATGTCTCTTTAACTTCAGCACAGCAAATGACAGTAATTTTTTTATGTCATTTCACACTGATGAGCCCAAGACAGTAGAACCAGATACTTCTATTATATTTGTTGAATCTTGTATGCTCTCCTGTCAGTCTTTTCACATATTTTCATGGCTGTAAAATACATACATCTTTCTCTAGAATCCATCTACATGAATACGATATTTATGGTCTGTTGTTAGGCTTCAGCAGCAGATTTTCAGGAAGAATAAGAAACTTCCTTCTTTTATCAACTTTCAGCTCCCCAGCCTGCTGTTTGAAGTCTATAGTAAAGATATTTCCATGCTCAAACATCTATAATAATAAAAATGCTGCCAGAAAAGTTTAACTAATACACTTAGATAATTATACTTAAAGAGTATAGAAGAAACATATGTATATCTAAGGGTTATCTCTTGTCCATACCTAAGATAAATCTAACCTTTGGCATTTTGGAGCTTATTTGAGATGAGTGAAAAATTTTTTAATGATCAGTACTGATAGTCAGTGGTTGTTCTCAGATTAATAAACAGCCATTCAGCTAGTAAAGGTCAAGGCCTTTTAACAGTCTTCAATATCTTTTGTCCTCACAGAAGGATTATTAAATTGCTCTTTTAAAATTAGTTTTCATGACACATAATACAGTATCTCTGAAAAGTGGCAGTTATTTTGTAATAGCCTTGGATAAAATAAATAAGTCTATTCTTAGTGCAATTCCTTGGCCTTTCCATTCTAATACTTTCTGCTTTTTGAATTGAACTGGTGACTTCACCTTGGTGGCATTGGTACTGGTGTGACATAACACAGAACACAGCTGCTGAACTTTTATTCTTTGTTACTGGGCCATGTTGAGGTTTCAAAGAGTACATTCAGTTCCTCAAAATACAAACTCCAGATCAAGCTCAGCCTACAGATAGTTTGGGTCTCAGTTTTGGAGTGTACAGTCCATTTACATATCTGGTTGGATCAGTGCATCCCACACCTCTGTAATGCAGGTTATGGGTACAGATGCATCATCTCACTTTGCAGTGCCAGGTGGCAGATGCAGGTGGGGACAGCGTCATCTGGGTGCTGTCTGGGTGCCACTGGCTCTGGAAGCCACCAGCAGGAGAGGCTTGATGACTTTGAATCTTCAACTAATTCAATTTGATTTGTCTAAAGCAAGGTAGCATGGAGTCCAGAAATATTATCCAAGAAATTGCTTAAAGGAACTTTTCATTCTTTACTTCTATTATTCATATGCATTTTCTTAATCTCAAGATGCTGGCAAATCTCTCAATGTGAAGTCTCACAGACTGCACAATACTTTTATTTTCTTCTAATGATACTGATTTATTGTGTTGCCAGTAGTGAGTTGAAGCTCTCTAAGTCCCACTGCCTATGGGACTGTGAGCAGCTTTCCGCTTACAAAAGTTCAGCCAAAATGTTTCCATGTAGACATGAAAGTTTAGGAGCTGAATCACATCCTTAACTTCTTAGTCTTTCTAATGCACTTCATAATCAGTCCTTATCTTTAATAACCTCTTTAATATACAAGAGAATTTCATCACTCTACTTCCACCCTCTTTTCAAACCATGTGTGAATATATTGAATGACCTGTATCCTGCCCAAAAGGCAGGTCAGTGTGGCATTAACCAAACCATCTATCATAATGCAGATTTTTAAGATTTTTTTCACTTATTTGCAATTCTGCAAAGTTCTAACATCTCAAAAGAAGTTAAATAATCTTATTACCATATATATAAACCTTCTCCATAAAGAGGCCAAGGCATTTAAAATTAGACATTTGAGCTCCATTTTTATTTTAAAAACCATAAAAGGATGATGATGATGATGGTGATGATGATGATGATGATTATTATTATTATTACTAATTTACCTGACTAAATATATTTCCATTTAACCAAATACTAAACTGTTCACAGTTAACATGTTAACAGTAAACTTACAATCATTACATACAACACAGTATTTAATGACTTTAAGAGAAAAACTTTAGAGGGTTATAGGGCACTTCACTCAGAGTTAGGTGTTGGGAACTGTCAATTTTCACTGTGTATCTCCTGTCTTCTGAACCAGACAACTTAGTCCTGTTTCCAGAGTAAATCCTGAGCAAAGAACAAAGATTCTTCTGCTTGTTTCCTGGTTTACTGACTTTCTATTGTCCACTGACAAGTTTCATACAAAGATGTTAAATTTATCAAAGAAAAGTGTTTTTAAAGCCAAATTCTATGCTGTTTTGTCTGTTTCACTTACTTAAAATACCAAAATAAATACTATTCCCACCTATACTTTTTATTTTCTTACACATTTGCTTCACATTAAGGCAACCTTCACCCTTGTTAGCCATCACATATTATCTATATTGTAACATATAATAAAAACTTGAATCAAAGTGTACCTCATTCAGCTATAAAACTTAAAGAATTTAAATTGTAGAACAAAAATTTATAACCCTGGGTCTAGGGTAGAGACACTCAACTCTTGTCATACTGCAGCTTATAGGATCAAGGAACTCAGATTTTGTATTCCTTGTACTCACTAAGAATTCAAGGGTGTCCCATGATATGATTTTGCTGAATGATTCAACAATTTCCAAAACAGAGAAGACACTACCTCACTTAGTAAAATACTAAAAGTACAAGAAACAGAAAGGTGGCAAAGAGAAAAGACATGCCACACTTGGTTCTGCTCTGTAAATGTAATATAGTCTGTAATAAGCAGTAATGACCATAAACATTATCCAGAGAGAATCTCGTCTATTGTCTGACTTCCCCAGTAACCTGGTTTCTGTCATTTTCGTACTTAGGTTCTACATATCTCTTTACTCAGCTGGTTATTACAATTAAAAAGCATCTGAACTGGTTTCTTCATGTCTTTTGCTGGACTTACCAACACACTGTGTTGTGTTCTCATTAGAAGACAGCTTTGCCCTTCAATAGCTACAACCTCGGAAAAAAACAACATTTTAACACAAAACAACTTAATTCATCTTGGTTTCCTTCCTGTTTCCAGGAACGCAACAGAATCACCATGATTTTTGTGTAAAACAGATATCTAGTAATGAATATAACATTTTTTCAAAGCTAAATTGGGGTCCTCTAGTATTCTTAGTGTTGGATAAAAAAATTATTTTTATAATTGTTTAAAGACATGCATATGTCTATTGATTTACTCAGACTAGTTGTCATTATTTTGTCTGTTTTAATTTATTTTCAGGTGCTTAACTAATATTTATTTTTGAAAGCCCAAACCAGCAACAGTGCATTCAATGCTATAGCACCAGTAAGGTTCCATAAGAGTATATTCAAGGTAATTTTTGAAAATGTGTTTTTTAGTGAGGACAATAATAGTGACTATTCACAAATTTCAGTGAATAATTTATAAACTGAATTATATGGTTACAGGATATAAAACTGGGGCATGAAATCTGGGTATGACCTGTGTTCCGCTCATAAAAACGTGATGAGCAGGAAGTACATATAGATATAGTTTCAGAATTGACATTAGTTTTATTTAAACTCTTGAACCAGCTGCTAGATATAAAGTGCATGTTTCTAGAAATCACAATATATTCATGGAAAGGCTGAGAATGACATTCTTAAACTCTACTGCTGTAATAAGGAGATTCTCTGGAAAATTTGATTTGTGTAGTAAGATTTTCAATTAAAGGCTAAAGCTTTATGAACAGACATATATTCAAACTTCTAAGGAAAAGGTTAAGTTTAAATGTGGATATTCAAAGCAGTTATTCCCATAAAATCATCCTGGGACAATTCTGTAAAAAATCCATCATTACATATTTTCCTGAATACATTTCCCAGAACAAACTGCTAAGGGATCTGCTTCTTCTCTGATGACTTATGAATTCTTTCCTCACTTATGTGGCAAGCTACTTTCCCAGGAGACTGAAAAAATCCAATTTTCCTATGAACAAGTTTAGTTCTTAGATATTTCAACTAACTTAGAAATACAAAATATCAATATCTGTTAAAATATCTAAATCTATTTGCATTGTTGTTGCCAATGTTTAGTTTAAAGATAAAATCATTAAATTTGAATTTATTTTTTTTTTAACAGTAGCTTAATCATGATCACATTGTAGACTGAAATACAGAGTGTTTCTGTTCCTTACAGTATATATGGGCTTTCTGAAAAGGAAAATTTTTATATTGGCACTAACTGGAACTCATCCTAGCATAATGAACAATAGTTTGGGGGGGAGGGAGGCAGATGGTGAGGTTTTTGGATTCCAGGCTTAAAATGGTACAATTTCAATTTGTAAAAACATTCAGCTCAGATCAAGTGTACTTTTCCTCCCTCTTGCTCCAGATGATATTACATGCCACCTGAAGGAAAATCCCAATAAGGAAAGAAAAAAGAAAGTGAACAAAGAGTTAAATGAAAAAAAATTATTACCAAAAAGCTTCTTGGAAAAGCAGACTTTTCTCTACATGTAGACATAATGTGATATTATTGCCAGAACTTCATGGTTTTTATAAATTCCACATTACCTGTAACACCAAGACTACAAAACATAAAACCCAGATTTCTTAATAGCCATTTGAAGTTTGAAACATTCAGTCTTTAAAACAGACTGAATCGTTTAAGTTTACAAGTTTTGCGTGTTGTCTGATACAAGGTTGAGTTTCTTTCTCTATTAGTATTCAGACATCCTCTTCTATCCATGAAAAAGTGTTTCACAGTACAACATTTTCATAATATCCTATATGACTTTCATTACAGGGGTTTCTTATACTCCCTACTCTAGCACCTACCAGTCCCATACCTACAGCAACAGCTCTTGCAAGGCACATGACACCAATTATTGGAAGGAAAACTGTGTAATGTTTTTATCATGGTTAAAAAACAGAGCTTTTGGAAAAATAATAACTTCAGCAGGACTCCCATCTGTGTTCATGGCATGGCCCTATCATGTGGGTGAACTTGCAAAGAAATTAATAATTTGTGATAGGAAGCATCCCTCAGAGTTACTGTTCTTGGGAAATTCTGTCAGGGACTGTCACCATAGATAGGAAACACAGTGTCCATTTGGGTGACAGGAAAAAAAAAGTAGCACACTTTCTAAGCACAATAAAGGGTGTTGGCTTATTGTTTCTGCTGAAAGATGAGTCTGTATTTATCAAATTCCATTTTTCAGCATGCAACAAGTTCCTACACTATTTCAGAGGTTTAGTATTATCAGCTGATAAAATGAGTGGCATTTGCTGTGCTCAGGGCATAGTGTTGCTGTGTACAGCTGAAATGGTTTTTTACCTGATAGATTTTTTTTTTATGTATTTTGAACTTCACGTATTTTTGGATTCATTCTGTGGAGCATGCTCATACGTGCTGGCACAACAGAAATCCCAGTCTGCCTTCTCCATGAAAGGAACAAGGATTGTGAATTGGAGCAGACAATACTAAGCATACTGCCTTGCCTTACAACAGCCTGTGCCTGTTCCCTTCTCTCTCTGCCACCCCTTGCACTGGGTATATCCATCCCTGTCCATCCCAGACTGTCTCCAGGCCCTGAAGCTGCACGGGGCTGAACCTGCTAATGTGGCTTGTCAAGTGGAAAGGTACTGAAGCAAGAGTTGGTGCTGAGGTAAGGGAGCCTATGGGCTGAAAGGCAAAACTTCATGGGCACCAGGCTGCAAGAAGGGTAGAAGATGGGTTGTTTGAGTAATTGTTGTTGTTGTTTGATCAATTTCAAACAAACACATCAGGAAAAACCCAGGTATAAGGAAAACTGGTAAATTTTCAATTGGCTTTATATCAGTAAAAATGGCATTATGATAATCTGTATATGGATGAACTGAATTGTGCCTCTGGTCCAAAGGTTTCATGAAAATATTGTTATTTTCTGTCTTCCTTCTGCCTAGGAAGACAGTCAACCTTTTAGCTATGTTCTGTGTTTCTGCAATAGTTATCTATGTTGCTAATACCCTGTCGGGATCCTATGTGGAGATATTGTATTCCCTGACTGATAGCAGTTTTGTCTGATTTGTTTCTGCCTTCTAAGATATAACTTCTCCTGGTGCTGTATTAATTTATTAGATTATGAAGATGTGCCAGCAAATCTTGCATTTTGAATAAGTTTTAAACTTCATGGCTATTTCTAGATTATTATACTATTCTGTGGTGGAATGAATTTAAGTCTGGGCATCAATTTCCATGTTATTCTAGATTTAAAGCTGAATTAGTAGCATTGTAAGTGCATAGTTATCAGAAATTAAGCTTCAAGGATAGTCTGTTTATTTACCTCTGCTGTATCTTTCAATTTCTGCATCTTAGCTTCATTCTTTGGCTGATTAAAAACTGATTGATTTTGTGAGGAAATGTAATTTTTTATACTTCTATTGACCTCTCAAGTGCAAAATTCTTATTGAAAGGTTGCAGAACTCAGTATATAAAATTTCTACGTAAATAAAAGTTTCAATCCCCTAAAAATTAACACCTCCCCACAAAATAAACACATTTTTATAAAAAAAATAATTAGTAACTGTGTGGCTGTGTTGGCTTTATTGGAAACACTGTACAGAAGAGAGGATGAGAGTAAGGACCTGCAAAGATAGCAGTAGGAACAACAGTCATGCTATGTGTGCATTTGTTGTTATGGCAAGAACCTTGAGTGCAATGTTGGAAGCTTCTGGAAGCACTGCTTCATTTCCAAATACCCTTTCTATTTCCAACACATCTTTCTGTCAAGCAAAGTCTGTGGAAGCACCAAAATATTAGATGAAGTCAAGACCAAAAATAGGAAAAAAAAAATTTTTTTTTTATTTTTCATGACGCATATGAAAGAGTGCCTTTATAAAATTATTAGATCTTGTATGGCCAGGATATTGGCTTTGCTTCTAATCTAAACATTTATAAATGTATATAAATAAACATATTTATTCAAGACAATTTGTTGTGTTTATTTGTTGTGTTTATTTTTACTTTAAAAATGTATTTCTCTAGCCCTAAATGAGGCTTTGGAAAGACACTCTGTCAGAATTTTATTAAACTTCTTTTCACATTAATAGTTTCTTTTTATTTTTTCTCTTTAGGGAGAACAAGGCCCCCCAGGTCCCTATGGTCCTGCAGGACCCCCTGGCATTGGAGAGCCAGGACCCAAGGTAACTCTCAGAATTATGTTTGTTAAAGTGATAGCTGTGGGCAGTCATTATTTTAAATTAAATTTCTCATCTACAGTTTTATCAAAGTCAAACTCTTAGCACCTAAATGTAAAACTGATTGACAGTTTTTTGTATTAACATAGGATGGAGATAAAAGACCTGCTTTTCCAGCAACTCTTGCATTTTTTTTATGATCCTATTGACAGAAGTCAGAAATAATGCCATTTAAATGGGGGTTACTTGTATGAGATAATTTTCAAGCACTAGCAACTGCTTTCACTAATGAGTAAACCACATTTCACGGTATAGAAATACATCTCAGTCACTGTGATATATGGTAAAGTGAGAGATTTGCCTTGTCATTCACTAAGGAACAGACATTCTTAAAGATTGTAAGATTCTCTCATGAAACATTTAATTCCTCCATCTCATTTTATTGCAAAAGACTAGAAGGTGGAATCTAGTCTTGGAAAAGTCATGTATGCCTATGCTGGCCAGCCAGATCTCCTTTCATTAAACTACAAAAGCATCTGCATAGGAAACATGAATTCTTAGTTTGACTAAGAAAACATGAGTCTCCAAAACAAGAGTTTTGTCAAAGAACTGCATCTCAGAGTCAGACAAGAAAGGTAAATTGGGTAGAATTAGACCTCACTATAATTCTGGTGCCAAGTCTCTGGTGTAGCTTTATGCCATCTTTTCCCTGTGTTTTGGAGCCAAATGCCACTGTCTAATACACTTACACTTTTTTGCTTTTAGTGTTCTAATTTGTACATTCACTGAATTCCCACATATTTCCTGTGCAGTGGGGCAGACCCCAGAACACAGAGAGGGTTCATGAGCTCAGAAACCAGTATTTTGACATGTAAAAGGGACAACACTTGGTCCTTCCAGGAGGGAAGATAGTTTATGGGGAAGAAATGTCACCTCCTGTCTCTTTACCACTCTGTAGAAAGATAAAAATCCTCTGTGCCCTTACCCTTGAAGCACACAGTCTTCAGTAAACTGGACAAATCGTGAAGATTATGACATCTTGTAAGTGGAAGATGCAGAAACTCTACAGCTCCTGGAGTTCCCACGTAATCCCATATTCCACTGAAGCAGGCTTCAATTTGAGTATCCAGATAGACTAGGTGTGAGCATCCCTCACACCTGAGCATTCCTGCTTAGGTACTGCAGCCAAATTTAGTCTGAGTTAGCTCCCTCATCCCTGTCATCTCTTAGGCTTTGCAATTTTAAGCAGTTATCCCTATGTATTGACTGCTGGAATGCAATCTAGTGTTTCAAGTATTAATTGAAAGGTCTTTCAAATGCTTCTAAAACGTCATGTATAGGGTTTTTTTTCCTTTAGGAGAGGTTACTCATTAGATTTCAAGCCTTTGCGGTGACACCATTAAATAATCTATATGTAAATGTTTTGCTCTTCAAAAGTACCAAGCTGAATTAGGACTGAACTTTCTAATTTTCTTTTTCACAAGGGTGCTGAAGGTCGAGAAGGTAAAATTGGATTGCCAGGACCGCCTGGAATTGGTGAGCCAGGATTACCTGTAAGTCAGTGATATATGCGTTGGGAATTGAAATGCAACAAAATAAGTCTTAGTGAGTAAGGCTTAGTGATTGTCAGTAGCTTTTTTGGCTACTGATTCCATAACCACCTTGTACCCACTCTGGAGCAGCACAAGCTATTCCAGCCCAATACATCAGTAGTTGCATGTGGTTTGTCCAAGCAGGAGAATAAAACCACATACAAGTCAGTTTTGGGGGGAAAAAAACCCCCAAAGTTGGCGATAATCTTTAAAAATTGTCTACAATTAAATTTTAAGAAGATGAAAATAAGAGATGAAACATTCCTCAACTCCTATATGTAATTTGGATCACATCAAGAACAAGGATCTATATTGCATAAATTGCATGCTTTTAGTTATATCTTTATTTTCTGAATTACAGAACTTTGGCAAGCTCCTGATTTAATGCTTATTGGTTACTTTTTCTTCCTGAAATGTAAATGTATGGTTCTCTTGTGTACAGAAAGCCAAAATATAGATAGGTGTTAAATTAATTCTAATAGTATTTTTAAAAATTACTTTGTGGTTGTGAAAGATTATTTTTCTCACAGAAATATGTAGAAACTTTTTGTTTAATCAAGGTCATCCTTAAAAAGTGCTTACTAGCTTTAAATAATGAAAGTTAGCTGAATTTTGCAGGACAGAAAGTGTTAGAAAAATACTTATTTGTGTACTTGCTTAAATCAAAATTAACATTCTCTAGTGTTGCATATTTAACCTGTCATTATATATTAAAAATATATTCAGATTGATTATTTTTATGATAAAAATAATGAAATTATATGAGATTACAGGGAATAAATTTCACTGTAATACTAATGCTCTGAGTCTTTAGACATTAATTATGTAACTCACATCAATTCAGCATTGGCTTATTCTATTCTAAATGACCCAACTAATGGTTGCTACAGCTCATTTTAATTGCCTGGGCTCAGTCAGATATTGTGGAAGCATTTTCACTTACCAGTGTCATAAATGTTGCAAAATCCTGTACTTGAAAATCAGACAAATTTGCTATAAGAAATTGAATTTCTGGTATCGTTTGAATATTTTTTTTTTTCTTTCAGGGACCACCTGGCCCTGCTGGGTCACCAGGTGAGAGAGGTCCACAAGGAGAGGGCATTCAAGGCCAAAAGGTAGTTTTATGGAAATTACTTTCTTTAACATTGTGGACCAAATTTGCAGTAGTGTCTAAGTTATTTAAGGCCACTGATAATTCCATTGGTATAAAATGCTGGATGATGGATCTTGGTTTTCTGAATCACTAGACTCTCTGAATATCCCACTGATTTCAGAAACTCTATCCAGGTAATTATAGAAAAAAAAATGTACAATCCCTCTATCAGTAGTAAGTTAATGATTCTCCTATGTGTTTAATAAAGATAACTTCTTTTGATAGCATTAGTGAGATAAATTGTCTTCCAAAAAACTACTAAGCTATTTATGTTCTGTATTGGAAGAAAATATTCAGCAACTGTTTTCATTTTGCCTTACCATTTTGGGAAACTGAAAGATGGGTTGTATGAGTCTCTGTGGACAATTATCTCATTTAGGCCATTTGCTAGGTTAATATATGTCAACTTTCCTTTTTTTAAAAATAAGTACAAACAACCAAAGATTAATGAATAAATTATAACTGGGTTTCCCATCAAAATATATCCCTCTGTTTTAGTGGCTTCAAGATTCTCTAGAGCCTTGAACTACTAAGCAAAAATTTTTTTTCCTTTTATGGAAAAGGCATCAGTCATGTCCTTGCAATCATTTCTGAACTGATCTTTCTGACAAGTGAACATATTGTTATGCTTTCAAAATGTATCTTCCTTACTCCTAGTATTTAATTTTCTCCTTTTGAAGTCCTATATTCAAAACCACAATGAATGTGATGGATGTTATGTATGAGTTCTAACCAATTTCTTTTCTTTTCTCTAATATTGGTAATTCCATTGGTTACTTTTCTAGTTTGTTTGTAAAAGAATATTTTTCCCTCATTATCATGATGACCAGTTTGTCTAAGATGGTGTTCTTCGTAAGTTCCTAAATATAAGTTTCAAAACTGTCGTCTATTTCTAGGGTGAAAAAGGCTCTGAAGGTGTACGCGGTCCTCCTGGACCAAAAGGTGAACAAGTCAAAGGTGACAAGGTGAGGCACAGAGTATATTTATAATTGTATCTATAATCAATTATATTTATAGTTAAATAAAGATTAATTTTTTGCACTACATCACAACTCTACCAAGGTATATTTTACCTGGATCTGAGGAGCTATGTTACATTGTTCCATGCAGCTCCATGGGCTGCATCCATCAGTACAAGTAGGTGAGCCTGTTAATGTTAACTTAGAGCACTAGGGACTTTATTATATGCAGCTGGGAGTATGATGGGAAGAAATTTACTTTTTTTTTCTCCTAAAATAATTTCAGAAATATTCTACTTAAAATACTTTAATTTTTAAATACCTATTAAAACTTAAAAATCCCTAAGTCATCTAATCTAATGGACCTGGAATGGGCAAAGAAACACTGATATTTTTAGTTTTTAATATACTCTGCAGCTGCTGTGTTTACACTTGTGAGGCTTTCTTCTGAGTGTTGCGCAAGAAACTGTCTACATTTCTGTACAAGAATCTCAGTATGTAAAGATGAGCTATGGATCCTTCTAAATAATAAAATTACAGGTGTGATCATCAATGTTATAAACAATATGGAGTTTTTAGGGCAGAAGGGGTATTGTTTTTATTAGATCAGTTGTCACAGGCAGACTTCCAGGTATTCCAAACACATTTACTTCACTAGAAGCAGCAGACTTCAAGATAATACAGCTTGAGGACTGCCACTCTGTGTTTAGTTCAAATATGTTAATCAGATAGCATGAACTGTTGCAATTCAGTTCTTGGGAATACTTGTTCTATAGGGTGAACAAGGCCAAGTAGGACCACAGGGCCCACCAGGACCACCAGGAATAGGCAATCCAGGAAGCCGGGTAAGTCTGCATTTTGGACATGTAATGAGCATTTGCATAGAGTTTTCATTTTATATTTTATCAGAGCTGCAATTTTGATGTAAAGGCATTAAAAATCTCATAGTAATTTTTCATTTTTAGAAGTATTAAACTAGTTTTTAAGCAAAGCTTGTAAATACAACTGATTTTGACTGATTTGGATGGTCTTAGAATCAAGCAAATGTAAATTTGGTGTAATCTGCATAATAATTTGCATATGAGGTAAATCAGATAGCGTTGGTTTGATGGTGATATATTATACATAAGAATTTTACAAGGCTAAGTACCTACCAATTCTGAATGTCAAGCCCTTTGAAACTTGAGCATACCCTTTAGCTATTGGATAAAGAAAAACTGAAACATTCCAAAAGATCTGGATTCTGTTAATTTTGGAAAGAAGATTTCTTATGAAGATGAGATAAAATTGTTGTTAACTGAAAGATGGATGTGTGATTTTCATATGTGGAAGAGTATAATGCACTAAAACTCATTTATTTTGCTTTACAGGGTATACAGGGTCCACAAGGAATCCCTGGGGCAAAAGGCTCTCAAGGTTCTGGTCGGCCAGGACCAAAGGTAATGGTTGATTTTTAAAAGCAACACTGTCATGAAAGAATAAGTGTCTTTGCCAGGCTTTTTAAAAGTGTACTTGATGAGATGAAAATATAACTTCATTTGAGATAACAATTCCTTTTGAATCTTAGAGGGGAAGCCATCCATGTTATAAAGATCTTCCCCAAATGGAACAAAATGGCTTCTGCCTGCTTAGGATCAGTACTTAAACTTTGTGAATATGAATTTCTGGTTCTAAAAGACCACATATTTTTAAGCAGAGGGTCTTTCAGACATCTTTGTGTCCAATGATTTTGGTGCCACTTATATGCTGTGTTCAAGTAAATCTTTTTACCAAACAGTTTAAATTTAGCTCAGTGGTGGTTTTGAGACTTCAGGCTAATCCCACCATACCTTCAGCCTGGCCTTCAGCCTTCCATGGTCATTGTGAGAAAGAACCAAAACCAAAGATAGAAAGACTAAGACAGGTAAGAGAGCTGAGGTTTGCTTAGCTGACCCTGCACTGCAGAAGGAGAAAAAGTAGGAAGAGAACACAAAAGTGAGGAAAACAATTGCTGCTATCAAAGCCCAGGCCTCTAGTGGTACAGTGTCAGGTGATCACTGTCAGACAAGGAAAGGGGAATTGCTGAAATATAATGAGAGCAAGTGGAATGAACTGTAAATCAGAAGTGTGCTTAGTAATCACCTTGATTTGTGAAAGGAAGATATTAGTCACTGTAGCAAAAGGAGGAAGAGAACCAGTCATTTTCTTCTGGGTATAGCTTTGGCATGTAAACAGCAGTTATAGCAGAAATATTTAATATTAATGTAGAGAAAAATAGACAACTGTGAAACATGTTATGTGATAGGCCAATTCACTTAAGATGATGAAGCAAAATTGCAAAATGGAGTTCCTCTTTTTCTAAAAAAGTATCTCTTTTACTGTTTTGGAACTACAGGAAGAAAGGCTAAAACTTTCTCTTAAGCAGGACTTGTGATTTTTCTTTCTTTGGACTTACTTTTTATTCAGTGACCAAAGAGTTTTTGATATAGTCCTGTACACTAAAAAAATAAAATGCATTAAAGCATAAGAAAGAAAGTTGGAGTGATTCACTTCAACTTTCTGCCCACTGCAGGGTTAAATAAAATAGATGCAGACCTACAGGTTACAGGGGGTTTTAAAGAACAGAATTTTCCAGTGAAAACTTGACCACTTAGGTTCATAGAATTGTAGAATATCATCATATCTGCCTCTGTGTTTGCAGCTAATTAAACAGTGCAAGTAGTGAATAAAGCTAAATTGTGTCTCTCTTTTAAACTAAAGACTTCTTTGTTGCTAGGGTGAACCAGGTGAACCTGGACAAAAAGGAGAAGCAGGACTTCCAGGAATTAACTCATCAGGACTTAAAGTGAGCCTGCTTTTATTTTTAACTGTTCTTTACATGGTCTTTTAATTCTTCCACTAATTACTGATAAACCAAATAGAAGATTTTTTGGTATAAATTAACTGTGGTCAAAATAGGAAGGAATTTCAGTGAGGGTCATAAAAGCGTTGCCACTACCATGACTGGAACAAAAGTTTTCCCCTAATGTTTTCTAAACTAGTTACATCTTTCCAAGGCCTGTTAGAAAGGTTGCCAACTCTGTTCCCCTTGTTTTTCTGATCCAAGAAAAAAAGCCACTCTTTGTGACAACGGTGGTCATACTGCCGGTGTGTTGGAAGAGACATTAAACACTTACAGCTTTGTCTTCAGATGCCATTTTGAAGACTGTAAACCATATATTTAATGACTTAAGTAGGGCTTCAAAAATCAGGTAAAGTGGCAAGACATCTTGTTTTTAATGACTTGATCTTGGATCATGAAAGAAATGCTTGGCAGGACTGCTTCCTGTGAATTCTTTCAAGTCTTTCTGGTAAATATGAAAAGTAATGACTTGGTTGGTTTATACAAATGATAAGGGGTTTGTGTCCAGTCAGTAACACCATTTGGATGTTTTTGGCTGACCATCCTTTAAGTCCCAGATGTTTGACGTAGCAAGTAAATTACATTAATACAATATTGTTCTTGTGCAGAGAATAACAAAGAGCATTCAGTCATAGTTTTATTCACTGAATAAACATAAATTTATTTTATACAAGTCCAAGATTTAAGAAGTAGGTGGGGAACTTGGAGAGAAATTTTAAATACTTATGGGTATTAAAAATTAGTGTCTCTATAGAATATTTAACTTACTGGAAATAAAAACCTTTATTGGAGGAAAAATATTGTTTAATTAATATTTTCACAAACTGTTGGATCCATTTTACAGAACAAACAATTTATTGAAATATGCAGATGTAACAATTTTTTCTTCTTTAAGGGAGATAGAGGTCTACCAGGACCCCCAGGAGAAAAGGGGGTGATAGGAGAGAAGGGGTTGACAGGGAAAAAGGTAAGGAAATATATTTCACCACATGTGAAAAGGTGTGCAAAAATGGTGATTAAGGAAGAACAGGTTATTTGCAGGTTTGCAGTGGTAAGGAGTTCATCCTTGAGGAAAGCACATGCCAATACTTTTTCCAGGGATATGGGACTGGATGAGGTGTGTCAAACAAACACTTCTAACAGTGGTTACCATCTGAATGAGCAACTGAGCTACAGGCAAGCAACCCTGCCTTTTGTGGGCAATTGACTACTGTTAAATTTCACAAACTTGGAGAGCAGGTAGCTCATGTCTTGAGCCTGTTCCTCATGGACTGTTTAAGTTTTAAGCCTGTTTTGCCCTTCTCCTAATCCATATCTCACAGCAAGAAGTAAGTAAGTACCCTGGTGATTTTAGCCAGCACTAAAACCCACCACACCTATTCAGATCTTTCCTGACACCAAGTGATTCTCCATCAGTGTGACTTAGGGCATCTCACAGGGTGGTGAGCTGTGGCTGAAACCTATCAGCCATGGTACAGGTACCTGCACAAACAGCTAGACCCAGGCCTGTTTGTTTTCAAGGGAAACTTTGAGGATCTAGGAGAAACTCCACCACATTTGGAAAAAGAAACATAAATTCAAAATGGTGGATGTTAATTTAGAGGGATGCAAAGCAGAGTGCCTAAAATAGTAAATTTAGAGCAAATTAAATTAAAGCTTTTAATTGTACTCTTTCCAAAATGAATGAGCTGCTGAGTAAGCAAAAGTCAGTGCTTTGTGTGATTTTTAACTGCTGCTGAGAATCCAGCTGCCTCCAGACCGCTGTAAAGCACTTATATGAAAGTAGCAGCTGGCTGACATGTAAAACTGATAAACTAAACATAATTTGGAGTAAGCAAATCAGCATTTTTGACTATGGGCTTTAAATCAGAAAATATTTGAATAGCTGTAATAAATATCTATTAAGAATTCAACTTCACATTTTTGTCACCTAAAAGTGCAAATGCCAGTTGGACAAACTCCAGCCTGAAGCAGTAAGCCTTCCACTGTGAGAAAATATGTAGCATTTCTGTTGCTACTTAATTATATTTTTAAAATTTGTATTATCCACTGCTCAAAAAGATTCCAAGGTATCAGAAGTGCATCAGAATTTAGAGTAAAAGTTGGGTTAGTGTTACAGATGGTCATGCTGGGTTTTTGTTTTTTTCTCTTGCATATTGTCTTTACTCTGATAATTAATTCTGTGCTGTCACCTTCCCTGTTGTAACCCACTGAAGGTAAAAATAGTAGTACTGGGCAGCTACCCTGGGTATTCAGGGCAGTGCAAAGAGCAGCTGGATGCCTACGGTGAGTAGCGTGGTGATATTACAGCAGTTATTTGCAGGTGTGACAATGTCTCACCAAAGAGGGATCCCAACTGATGCCTATCAACAACAGGCTCTGTAATATCACTTTCATCAACAGCTGAAATCAGAAATGGATTTTAACCTCATTTTAATCTACCTTTCACTCTCTAGATTACTTGCAGATATCTTGATATACTAATCTTGCTTGTATTCTGCATAAATATTTTGTAGGTAATGCTCCTTAATAGAATGTTTTGTGTGGGTTATTTGTGAGTTATTTAATGTAATGTTTCTGGCAAATATTTTCAGCCTGGAGTGCCCATTGGCTACAGAATTGTCTAAAATTGCTTCTCAGAATTGGTCCATCAAGACATTTTCTGATAACTTTGCAAGCATTTCTCTTCCTCTTATAAGTATAGGCATGGAATCCTTCCCACAAAAGATTGATGCAGTTGCAAATGACATTATTAGAAATGTCTGTGAAAATAAGGAATATGAATGTAGGAGATTGCAAGGGCTTTAAGAGACAGAATACTTTATTTTTTGTTGGAAAAAAAAAATTAACCAGTATTTACTGATATTTTTGGGTAAAATATCTATTCAAGCATTGTTTTTCATAAGTCTATCAGTAAAATTAATGACATGAAAAGTAATTAACCATTTAATCTCTGTTAGGGGGAAAAGGGAGATCAAGGTCCAAGAGGCCCAGAAGGACCCCCTGGCAAAGGAGATGTAGGTCAAAAGGTATGACTTGACATGCACGCTGGGGAAATACTGCAGACTTTTATAAGGGTTTGGATTCTGGCTTACTTTTTCATTCATTATATCGCAAGTATCAGCTCTATTTTAGCTGATTATTTAAAAGGATTTAAGAGAGAGAACAATGTATTCTGTAGCCTGAACAAGTGCAGCAAAATCAGACTCTAAACACAGAGCCTAAAGTTAATAGGGTAGTAGAGATTTCCTAAAATATCAGTACAGAATTTTCATTGAAGTTCAGAGATGACAGATTAGCTCACTATGTTGACAGAGATAGAGAGAAGCTAAGAGAAATTAGGAGAATAGTTAGATATCTTAATATTAAATTAAAAGCCTGGAAAGATGTATTAGTAGACAGACAACTTTTATCTCCCATTTTGTATAATTTAGGACATTTGGGGCACATTCTAGAAATTAGCAGGATTTCATTTGGAGTAGAATATCTAAACATCTCTCTAATTATGGGCTAATAAATATTGTTGTGGTTTTGGCTACTTGTGTAGCTGGGGCTGTAGATGAATCTTTGCTGTGATTGAAAAAAAAAGTTTGTTTTCTTCAGGGTGACCCTGGAGAAAAAGGATCCAAAGGAGTGATTGGTCTTACAGGACCAAAAGGCCCAGCTGGACCAAAAGTAAGCTTGCTCTTCCATGGTAACCCTTCTCTTTGTATTTTATTAAAATACCTATGGAGTTTATTGGAGTTTTCTCAAGCATCTGATGCTTAGAGACTTAGCAGAAAAAAGGGAAAGCAGAAGTATTTCCATCATTTCTCCTAAATGACACAGAAGTCTCAAGGAGAAAAAGAATAGTTAAAGATATAATTACATATGTTATAGTTATACATGAGCACTGATAAGCTAAACTAAAGTTGTCCAAGTGATTCTATCCAAGAGTATTTTGCAAATTTTTTCTTTGAATCATCAATATTTTGTTATAATATTTTTTAACTGTTGCTCTGAATGAATTAGAAGGAAATTGGAATAATGTAAGTGTTCTTGTTATTCCATTGGATTGTAAGCCAGACACAAAATATTAACTAAAGCTAAAAAAGTCAAATATACAGTTCAGCCAATAGTTATTTAAAACATGAAACTTAGACCAGCTTTCATAAGAACTCTGTTTTGATTTATGTATTTTTCACAGTATTGCTTGTTTTGCAGGTAGATCTCTATTGTAGGTACTTTTAGTTCAGAAAGTCAAACTATCTGTTTAAGTCTGCATTATACCATTTTGTAACAGGGTGATCCTGGAGAGAGAGGACTCCCTGGTGCAGCTGGATCATCAGTTTTGGGACCTCCTGGACCAAAGGTGACAATCTGATACATATTTCCTAGAGACCAGAGATTGGAAATTTCTAATGTATACATTTCTGTCAAAATTAAAAGGATCTGATTCAAAGAACTTCAAATTCTTTGTTGTAGGAACAAAAATACTGAATTTCAGACATAAGGACTAAAAAGTATTAAAAATTAACAGTGTTGGAGGCCAGGCCCTTTAATGGCATAATGAACTTGGTACATAGTTATTTCTTCCTGAAGCCATTTGTTAAAAAAATCCAAGAAACAACTTATTGGATTTCTGGTTTGGTTTTGTCCCTCCTGTGAAATTAATCAGTTTGAAGTTGTTTTTTTCCCAAAACTGCTGGCCTTTTTCGCTATGATTTTATTCTGTTCAGAACAGTTCAAACAACTTTCATAGCAGATGGGCCATTATCCAAAATCCAATGAAGCCTGTTGGAGTCTTTTGAAATTCTTTACTAAATTTTAGAGCAGGGCTTATGTGGGCAGTAGCTGATGAAAATAAACCCAAATATTTGGGGTAATTATAAAATGCAAGTTGATTTTTAGAAAATACATAAAACTTTGTCTCTTCAGCTGCATCATAACTTCTTTGTTTAAAAAACTATCTACTGTGTTTTGGACAATTGATCAATAAAGTAACAGGGTACACAGGTCTTTTTTCTTCATCAGCTGTGGAAAGTACAATGATAACTACAAATTTTGCTCCTAAAACATCCTGGCGTCTGCAGCTAAGAAGGCAGACATGATCCATTTCTAATGCAGAGAATGTTTCTGGAAGCTTGGAGTTATGTCTGGGAGTCTGAGGTCATTTTGGGACATCTCTAAGGATCTGAGATGGTGATGAGTGATTGCTAGAGGTCTTAACCCCCCGGGTAGCCATGGTTGTGTCCATTGAGAGTTTATTTATTTTAAGCTACACCCACGTTTGGGGACGGGAGTTTTGTTTCCCTTAACAATCATTATGCTGTTACTAATATGGGGACAGAAACATTAGAAAGCTGTTTTTTCTAATATTTCTTTGTCATGGTTACAGCTGATCAGTGGTTTTGATAGAGCATTCCCTAATTGCATTTAATTGCATTCCCTATTATATTTAATTGCATTCCCTAGAGCGTTTAAGTGTATTTCCCTGAAATACTTCATGTCCTTCTCACTGAGAAATTGCAAATGTTTCATTGCAAGTTTAGATTTTTTTGTAAGTTCATTCATGTAAAGTGAAACATCTCTTGCCAAAGTTTAAACACTAGAAGGAGCCAAATTTTGCTCCATGAAGGGTTAATATAAAGAAGATGAATTCTAAGCCTGATTGATTGTTTCTCAGGAATGCCACTGACAGAGCTGTTACCAAAGAGTTGTGTTGTGTAATATTTGTGGAAAACTCAAGTTTCTGCCTGAGACTTCAGATCATGGAACTTGCACTTTTGAAGTGCTGTGCCATTGCATCCATAGGCTTTCTAAACATACTCTGTCTCACTACTTGCCTTTGAAGTTCCTTGTTGTTCTCTATGTGCTCTGACAGAAACAAGGTTATGCAGCCTGCTTGTGGGGCAAAAGCAGGCGGGAGCCACAGGTGCGTCTGGCCTCTCAAAGTGAATGATGACATTCAGCCTTCATCTGAAAACTTAAGCCATCAAGTTATTTGTCAAGGTAGAACAAAGGTTTTTACACTGCTGGGGAGAAGCAGAAGTGTAAGAGAGGTCAGAATCAAGGTAGTAAAATCTTCCTCTAGAAACAGTGATTTCATGTTACCTAGCTCAAAAATTGTCACTGTAAGAAAGAACTGAATACTTGGTCTTTTCTGTAAAACTTTCAAAATTAAAACAGAATATAGTTAATATAATTCTGAATTTGTTTCTCTTTGGATAGGGGGATCCAGGAGACAAGGGACCACCAGGAGATGATGGACTTCCTGGAAATTCAATAATGGGACCAACGGTAAGAATTTTTAGACAAAAGCTAGAAAGTAACTAAGCATGAGACATATGCAAAACTCCTGTGAAAATGTAGACGCCACTTGAACCTTTTAAGTAAAGGAATTCACCAATTCTTCAACTTTTTCATCATTCCAGGTTATGTCTATTTTTAAAATAAACTTACTGTCTTTACAAAGAAGAAACACAAAATTGTATAAATAACATATATATATAAATTGTATAAATATATGTATAAATAATATGTATAAATTGTATAAATAGTCCAGTATACCTCACCCTGCAAACTTCCCATAGGAAGTCTTCGTTAGCAAGGCAGTTCTTCAAATTCACTTCTTCCCCTCTGACACACTTTGTATCATATTGAATGTCTGTCACTTGTGATTTGGGTTGCAGCTTTATTTAAGGCTTCTGCCACTTCTGATAAGGGAGTATTTCAGGGAAAGGTACCATTCTTATTATCTCCTTTCCAGAATGAAATTGGGAACCTTCTTCAGAAACATCTTTTTTTTTCTTTTCATTCCAATTAACCATGTCTGCACATAAAATATTCCACTCAATTCTATCATTTCACTTTGTGGAAATATAAACAGTAGACCCAAATTCAGAAACCAATTAGTTTATGTCTACCTAACACAATGTAGCTCAAAATATAACCACTTAATTCAATAGCTTTTGCATGATAACATTTTAAGAATACCAGTAATGGCATTCACTCCTGGCTTGACAGTTCTATCAGTACCCCTACTATAGGATGCTGAATAGCACATTGAACTATTCAGTAACTTGTATTTCTGATTTTAGAAAACTCTAAATTTCTTTTGTCTATAATCTAGAAATTACTTTATTACTCTTGTAAAAATAAGTGATGAACGTGACTTAATTGTCCAGTAAGGTCCTTAATCAATTAGGTTTTGATTATGACAGCTGTTTTATTTTCTTTATAATGATCATGGATGCAAGATGTATTTTTATATAAATTTTGATGTTGTTGTTTTGAAAGCATGTAGAAACAACTGTCTTTATATTACTGCTTTGGAAAACTACTTTAGAACCTGTCCTGGAAAGTCTGGAAAAGCAGATTAATTCATTTAGCAGACTATCTGTAGCATCAGGGGCATTTTCTTTCTTACCAGTGCACTGACTTACAGTCAGTCACTGTGATTATCTCTTCCAGACACCACAAAACTGTGGGAAGCAGTAATCACAGAATTACATCCACACCATCTCTTGTGTGACTGTTTAAAAAGCCCCAACAAAATAATCTGGACTAGAGAACTGTTTCTGATATAAGATTTGGCTGTAGATTCGGCCAAAGTAGATTTATAGCATTTATAGTTATGCTACTAATAGCAAATACAGACCCTTGACAAAATCCCAATTCTCACAGAAGACAAGTGCTAACATGTATTTGGTATTTACAGCGGCCTGCTAGGATTAAACGAAAACATCTGTTTGGCTGTTTTTTACTGTAGTGAGATTAGAAGTAAAAACAGATATGAACCCGTGATTCATGTTTTCCTTTCTTGTTAAGTAAAAATGTTACCAAACATTTCTAAAGCATTTTTCATTTTATCCACAATTTAAGAATTATGGATATTAAGAGTCACGAAGAGGTGAAATTTACTTCCCATTATAAAGCTATTTATGATCTAGAAGCATGCTGGTTGTTTAAATTTTTACAGAGGTGAATCAGAATTCCATCATTTGAAAATCAGGAGATGTGAAGAGACATCTTTGAGAGCTGTGACAGTTTGAATCTGGTGGTCAGGGTCTGTTTAAAGCCTCTCAGTGAAACTGTCCCATTGGATTCAAGAATGGATGTGATTCATACAGGAAGGACCTACTATTTAAAATGTACTTAGACATGAGGCCTGCTTGCATTGCTATCCACATTTCAGCTAAAGTAATTTCAGGGCTTCATCTTTACCAGAACATTGAGTCTACCTCGTAATTCTTCATTTACCTACCTGCTAGCCTAAACCTATGATGTATATCTTTAGGACAAAGCATCTCTTCCATTTTTCTGATAGGAATAAATTAGTTAATAAGAATAGATTATTTGTGTCTATGGTAGAGACATTCATGGGACAGGAAATTTTTGGCCTAAAATTTGTTTTTGTTGTATACCCAGCTGGAGTACAAGATGATTTGTTTTCCAGACATGGACATTGTATTCAGACAGACCAGCTGCTGAGGTCTGAGCTGCTAACTGGACTCTCTTCTTGGTTTCTTGAAGTATATTACTGTAGAAATTTGCAGGCACAATGCACAATGAAACAGTAGTTTTCTGTCCCATGTAGTTTCATTTTCCTTGTTATTTCCTTTTACTGGAGTAGACAGGGAAATATTTGTATATTTGTATGTAATTATTCTTGAGGATATGTTATACCTATGCACATTAACAACACTCAAGGACTTGTTCACAGCACTCTACAATGCTCTTTAGTAGAGCAAAACATTTCTTGGTTCTGTGGGACGAAGTGAAGGGTGTGGAGTTCTGTCTGTAGAGCCACAATATCCATACCATTGGGAGGGAGGTGGATGTGTGACCTGCATGCATCAGTGAGGATTTCCCATTGCAGGTGCTGTCATGTGAGCATCTACAGTACAGACCAAAAGCGTACCCTGAGAGAAAATGCATTTAGGAAGCAAAGAAATATATTTTCTTTCTGGATTCTGTGAACAGTCTATTGCAAGCTCAGTTACTTTTCTCATAAAATGTCAGGAAAACTCTCCCTGGAGTGAGGAAAGGGGAAAAGTTTGCTATTTGCATCTTGTCTGGCCATAAAAGGAAGCATTGAGGTTTTGCAGTTGCACAAACCTTTAGTGGGAGTCAGTGGAAGGGTGAACAGGAGTGATTATCTCTTGGTAAGAGAGCATTTTAGACGGATCATTTTCTTATAACTGTTTCATTTCTTTCTTTTCCTACTTTCCCTTGTAGAATGAAGTTTTGCTTTACTGTATGAGAGAACCAATGTGGTTACCTGGAAGCACAAAATGTGCCACATATAATTTAATATCATGTTTCAGTATTCTGAACTTAGTTATCATTGCTCAAACTAACCTCCAAACTGATACAGTTTGTTTTTCAAAATAAATTTAACTTTGTATGGGCTGAATATTAAGTCAATGCTCTGAAGATTTCTCTCTGTAACTACAAATCCAGAAATTAACAATTTCCTAATAAGAATTCTTATTCTTCTAAAATCTTAATTTGATTGAAACCACAATAAAAAAAAACACAGAAATTCCTGAACTTTGTGAATGAATTTCAAGAGTAACTGCTATTCTATATTTCAAAAAAGATTTTAAATAGCTTCCTTACATATTTGTTAATATTCTTTACACTGTGATAGTCCAGGTTGTGGAATAATTTCTGTCTTCCTATTTTGTGTTTAGGGAGACCGAGGAGTACCTGGACCACCTGGACCCCATGGAGAAAAAGGTGACAAAGGTGACAAAGGTGAAGCTGTAAGTACAATTTAAATTCTGTACTTTGTGTTCAACAAAAAACAAAACAAAATGAAACAAAAATTACTATGCAATAACTCGATATTTAGTTGCTTAGATTTAGTTGCTTAACTAAGTGCAATTAATCATTCTTTAGCTAATTTAAATGCTTCATGGATATTTTGAAGCCCTTTCCTAGACACAGCACCAGTTTACAAGCAATTGGAACTGGATATAAAGGGTTCTTGTTTCATTGTCATGAAAAGGATACCATCTAATTCCAAAAAAACCTTTATGGCTGCTCATGTTTAAATAAAATCACTGCTTTAAATTATTTTTTCTCCCTCCCTTTTCTTTACTCTTCTCTGATCAAGATTTCTAATACAATCTGCTAGACCAAATTTTGCAGCTTCAGTTCCTTGGATTTTCAGCTGTTTTTCATACTGGGAAGTTAAATCCTCTCATTTGAAGATTTTTCACTTCTTGCTTTTCTGATGGCTGGCTTCAGAGGGAATTAATACCTGAATGTTCCATCTGGCACATTCCACCACAAGGACATATCATCCTAAACTTCAGTCATCCAAAACCACACAGGCATGTTTGACCAGCCTCTCTCTTTTCCACTAGAAAGTGGAAATACTGTTACCATCCTTCAACCACCACATCTCAAACTTCCACTAGCACTATTTTCTTTATGTGTCTAATCCAGCTTTATTTCAAACTACAACCCTGCAAGCACTCCCAAATGCACTGAGGTGGGACCTGAGTGCTTCTAAATTTCTACTCAGCTCCAATTTCCTATCATTCAAACTGATGCTGAGGAGATCCTTTGGGATGAGAATTGTTACATAAGGCATTCACTCAGAATTCCCGGTGTAATGCCATGTACCTGACACATTTCATGCTGTGTAATGTGCAAAGGTTCTGCTGTGCTGTCTCATGGCAACATCTTTCCCATGCCCCGTGAGCTGGAAAGACCAACTTAATAAAGCACTGTCAGACATGGACAAGATTTATGTGTCTAAGTAGGTAGCAGGATGGGACAAAGCCTTCTGCCCTAGGAATGCTGCAAGGGAGCCTGGGAATGCTTCCAACAGTATGAAAGGCAGCTGAAGGGGAGGATGAATTGAGCAGGGAGGTCAGGAGAACAGGCTACCAAACACAAATACACAGAAGTATGTTAAGGTTACCTAACCCCTAAATTTAGGTGGGTTAGCTCTGGAATTGCAGCTGTCTAATGCTTGCAGCACATAAATCATGGAGCAATGTCTGCTTTCTCACTGTTTTCTCTGAACTGAGAACAATGTTCTTAAGTCAAGAGCTGTATTTTTTTTCCACCAATCTGAGTCTTTTTAGGTGACCACCTGAGACTGAGCATGGCTGTTGCTCAGTACACATCAGAAATGTGAAGAATTTATCTTCTTTGTTGAGGAGCAAAAGTACCTTTGGACAACTACTGACATGCTTTATTCCTCTGCTGTACCAGGGACCTCCAGGACCAGCAGGCCCTGAAGGACCAGCAGGACCAAAAGGCGTGGGAGATGCTGGACCAAAGGTATTTGTCCAATAGTAAAACAATCCACCTGACTTGTAAACAAGGTAGACATCTTCCAAAAAATGTGTTGGATAAGAATGACAAATATATGACAAGATGTTGCATTTCTCATCTCCTACTTTTCATTTCTGTTAGAAGAAAAGCTTGTGATAGACTTTTCTGATGTGACAGAAACTAGTTCTCGCTTTATCCTCAGACTGGATGGAATCTGCAGGTTTTCCATATATCCAAAGCCCAGGATGTTTCTAGATGCTGGTGGAAGTCAGGATCCAACACAAGCACAGTATTGCCTAGTAATTATGCCCTTCCTTTCTCTGGCAGAGAATCTCTCTGTGAGGGAGGAGGCCAAAAAATGAGTTAAGGGTTACATGGAGCTACTGAGATATCTTTTAAGTTGGATTCTTAATAGAAGAGTATAAACTTTTATCTAAAATTAGATAAATTTTGTGAGTTTTGCCTCTATACAAATTAGTATTTGTTTAGAGCCAAAACTCACAAAAAATCCCAAGCAAACAAAAAAACTGATAAAGGGATTAGAAGTACAACACTGAAACACTTCCATGGTTTTTCATAAGAAACAGAATAGCTGAAGTCTTATAAAATTATAAGCAGTATGTAACTCACCTAAAAAGTCACATAGTAATTGTAATGTTATAAAATAATAATTGTTATGTTATAAAAAGTCAGAAAAAGAGACTTAAGACTGGAAACATACAACAAATTGCTTTAATATATCCCAGAGTGGTTTTATTGATGATTTCTTCATTGCATACGTGAAATAAGAAAAAAGGCAGCCTGTTGCAGGAGGAAGCAAAATAAATATTGCCCAAACAAGTTTTTTCCCAAACAGAAATTTCAACTTCGGTTCTCTGAACAGGAGAATTCAAGTTTAAAATAAACTGCAATAACCTTTCAAAAACATCCACAATAAAGGAAAAATTGAAGGACATACATTCTTAGAATGACTTGACTTTAGAATTACCACAGTAATCTGTATATTTCAAAACAGAAATATCAGACTTGATACAATGTGCTCTTACAATACATGATTTTTGATACTACAGAAGAACATTTCATTAAAATCCTAGAATCTTGTATGAAATTATCAAGTCAGATATTGAGAAAGATTTAACTTACGACTGCAGGATGTCTAGGAGTATTGTTGTGTCTGAATTGTTCCTTGCTTCCTAAATGAATAATTCTGGAAAGTAGTGTTTCCTAAAGAAAAGGAATTGGAAAGTCACATTGTCAAAAATATGATCTCCAACTATGATGTCATGGTTGAAGAATTAAGAAGTCCAAAAATATACATCACAACTTCAATGGGAATAGAGGGGAGTAATATCAATAAATTTTACTTAAATCCAAAATGGAAAGAAATACTTGTTTTTTAAGGGAAAGGAAACCACTAGAATAATTGCAGTGAAATTTCTCAGAACTGGAAGTTTTACAATCAGTGTTTGTGGCTGTGTTTCTGAAAAGTACCACAAATATACAACTATGCAGAAATGTTCTTAGGAAAATCATGGTGCCTGTTTAGTATCAGAGATTGAAAAGTGGGTCACGAGTCCATTCTGTTCTTACAGCCATGAATTAATGTAATTGCTGGGACAAGCAACTCTTCAGCTGTATAATTATCAGAAAAGTTCCAACCCAGATCAAGTATGATGGAAGCAAAATATGGAATCATTAGATGTATTGGGGATGAAGGGGTAAAAGGTGTAAATTAAAAGTAATTATGCCCAGTTTTTGCAGTGAACATGGCATCTAGTCTTTTTATCAGTAATTCTTAAGTCACTGTAAGTCTTGTGACAAAATAGGGTGTATATTTAATTACATCATAAGTTAGCTGTTATACGGCCTTAAGCTGAGACAGGGAGATTCAGATTAGATATTAGAAAAAAAATTTTCACTGGTAGGGTGGTCAAGCATTGGAATAGTTTTTCCAGGGAGGTGGTGGAGTCACCATTCCTAGAGGGGTTTAAGAGGTGTCTGGATCTGGCACTGCATGATGTTGTTCAATGGTTTAGGGGTTACTGTGGTACTGCCAGGTTGACATTCAGACTTGATGAACTTAGAGTTCTCTTCCAACCCTGGTGATTCTATGATTCTGTAGTACTTAGAGTTTCCACTTTTGGCTCTATGTTAATCATTGCCAGCTCTGAAGAGAGTTGTTCATATTCCTTTATAAAGACATCAAATCCTTGTTTGTTGGTCCCATCTCCATGAAGAGCATAAAAAATATCACAGTTCATCAAGATGTGTGGGGTGAATTATATTCATGGTGCTAATAAAAGGGGTTTATTGGTAGCATCTTTTTGTGAGGGGATCTGTGTTGTGGATAGTGGATATTATCAATTGATAATAAATATTATCAATAAATAATAAATAATAATCAATTGATAATAAATTCGGCAAAAAGGCCTGTTACTGTGACAGATTTGACTAAGCAAAGATGAAATAGCTGAGACCAGGATGTGAGGTTCTAATTATTTCATTATATTTAATATAATAGTACATGGAATGTCTAGTAATAGATTCTCTTATCCTTATCTTAGGCAAAACCAAACTGATAAATAGTTCTCACTATTCTCATGTTTCCTGACAATTCCAGGTCAGATCAGGGTTGCTATGTAAATTAAAAGTATCTTATTTCCATCAAGTCATCTCCGTTGTCACAAAAATTGTCAGAATTAGGTGGTTTGAATCTAAGGTCCAAGTTGTTTTAAAACACAGCCCTGCAGAGTAGCTGCCTTTGCAAGTAACACAACACAATTAGGGCAAATCATGCTTACACCAAATTTTGTATGAAAAGTTTTCATGGATCTACATGTTTCATTTGTGTTACAGTGTGATACTGCCCACCAAACCTGCCTGCTCAGAGTAATGCTTATCTAACACTCTGTCAGATAATAAAAAATTCAAGAGTTAAAAACGTCTGGTAAAAAATTTAATTTGTATTTCTTACCTTAAAATAGGTAGGCATCTTTTTGATGATGTCCCTAGATTGGTGTGTTAGCCATGTTCAGTGAAATTTGTTTGATTTGTTTGATCTGTTGTTCTATAGAGAGTGAGCAGCTGTAGTTTTCACAGTGTGTGCGTGGTGCACCAAAGCAAGCATTATCTAACAAGATATAACATGTCTGATTTGCTTCTTTTTATCCACACCAGACATAGTAAAGAATGCACTGGAAAGAAAGAAACTAAAGATATAAACATCTCTTCTCATTCCCTGATTTTTTCGCTTCTGTTTGCCCATATTACATTCTGAGTTTTTAATCTTTGCATAATGTTTTGGTAGCAAAGGTGCCACAAGGAAAAAGAATTAATTTTAATTGCAATAATTCCCCCAGAAATTAGTTCACAAAATAGAAAATATTCTGGTATTTTCAAAATAAATGTAAATGCGTTGACTACCTGTTATGACTCCCACCAAAAAAAAAATTAAAAGAAAAAAGCAAGAACAGCAACAATCTCTGCATATAAAAAAAGAACATTTATTTGATAAAAGAGGCTCATAAATTTACACACTAGTTAATTTGAAATTCCTTTGAGGATCATTATATAGGAATGTTCCACTCATCTGAATCAAAGCTCTGTTCTCTCTGCTTTCAGAAATGGCTCACATATGTGCACACTGCTAGACAGGAATTTTATGTATCAGAGGTCAAATTCACATGAAAACAAAATTGGAACATGTGGGATGCATTCAGTCCTGGCAGAGCCCTATTTTCTGTAGCATTAAAACAGAAGCACATAATGTCAGAATATAATAAAAATTTGATTTAAAAGCACTGTTGCCAACTAGGGGGTGAGTTACAGACATTTGAGAGCAAGAGCCCAGCACTAGAAATAAAGCAAGTAACTGGATAGCAGAAAGATTATTAAAATCCTTAGCATAGTCCCTAGTGCATGAACATTTGGGCTGTATCCAGTTGCAGTATAAACAACTTTTGCAGCTTGGGGCTTGCCTATTTGAACTAAAATGTGGAAAGTAGAGATGCAATACCTTTTTTTAATAACATGTTGTTCTTATATATACTGTTATATCCATTAACTCTCACTAAAGAGAGTATTGCAGTGTCTGCTGTATGTTTCAGTATCAAATACACATACTTCACGGTAAATGAAGTATATATATTGGAAAATCCAAGATTTATGTTTCAGTTGACCATTAGGGCATTTAATGTTTTTTTTTATTGAAAAAAAGGTACAGAATAGACATTGGAATCCCACACTTTACCGTGTCTTGACTCAGCTCTTTATTTCTTGCTTCAGTGGTGTTTTTCTAGTTCACTGTTTTGCTGATGGTGTGAAGCTCGTCTATAAGCACAGTACAGGAAATAAATTAGACTTCATCAAAGAACAGTATTAATCGTTTTTGAAATGAATTCCCTGAAGGACAGTTTAGTATGACACCTCAGGAAAAAGAACTGCTCCACTTCACAACTCATAAAGCAAAATAAAAGTCTTTTTCTTTAAACCAAGAAATGCAGAAACTGTGAGGATTACTATAAAGCTCTACAAAAGAGCTTTTCAATGAGACATCTGGTATTAACTAAGCATGTGAGGCTAAAATTCAATCCTTCACCTGCAACGACCCTGTGGAAGACTGTGTTACCCATGGGAGGAAGAGGCAGATGACTTCAAGTCACCCTTAGGCTGTTTTTGGTCAGGACTGGTCTAAGAGCAGGTTGTAGGTGTACTGGGTACTGGGCCATAAGGAATCATTTATATTTGGTAACCTCCCATTTAGTTTCCATCACATCAGCTCACAGGTTGTTTTGCAGCATTCCAGGATCTCCTAAAAAAGTACCTTTTAATGTAATATCTGTATCTCTTATCTCTAGCATTTGTGGCAGATTTCAGAGGGAAGCTTGGACAGGGAAATCTTTGGCTGCTCTGCACAGCTTCTCTTCATGAAGAGTTATCCTACAAACAGCTTAAGATTGTGATTTGTGGGGACATTGATAATTAATAAATATTCCTTTGATAACAGAAGGTACTAGATAGGAAGATGGATACATTGCCAATGTCTTGGCTCTTTGCATTGGCAAGGAAGGTCTGATACAAAAGCTTTAGGGCATCTGAGGGAAAAATTTCCTCCCGACTGAACATGGCACTTAGTTTTATCCAATCACCCTGGCACAGCAATTTAAAGCTAAGAGCATCCATATACCATGCCTATGTCCTGACTCAAACTGGCCAATCTCCAGTGCTTTGTATGAAAAAGGAAATTATATTCAAAAGCTAAATGTTACATCAGGAAGGAAAGCATTATGAACTTAAATTAAGCCTTACCCTTTGTAATCAGAGTTTCCACCTCTCCAAATCCCTCAAACTTGAGCATAGTTTGGGCCCTAGGATGTTTGCATAATTAGCACATATGTTGGGACTTAACATGAGAGTATCATAGCCATAGATTTAAAAATACAGAATGGAGTGATGTCTTTCTAGAGACTGAACCTTTGGGAATTTCTTTCTTGGACTGAACCTAAAAGCAGTCACTGTAATGACTGCACACATTCTTCTCAGAATGTAAAGAAGATCAGTAGAAAATTCTGTTTGATTTTTGTTTTCAATCTGTTTGATATGTCATTTCATTTCATCTACCACAACTCAAATGACATCTGTGATTTGTGATTTATAGTTGCACCTCTCTCCTAGATCGAATGCTCCCTCTGCAGGCACAGCCTTTTCCAAGTGCAAAAATAAGAACAGTTAAGAGTTTTTATACTGATTTCTATTACTTTTGTCAAGAAATACAATTTCTTCTGCTCTGCTTTTTAATATATTGGATGATCAACAGCTTCTCAGTGTATTTCTTTACTTGCACTTGTCTGCATAGGAATAGGTTTAGGAATATCCAGCTAAACACAATTCAAAATATTCAGCATCTCTAACTTATCAGTTATAGACTTCTTTTTTCTTTTCAAGGAATAGATGGTACTTTTCTAGTAATCATGTACTGAATGTGTGCCTATTCTCTCATTTGTACAATCACATTCTGAGGAAAATAAAACTGCCATGTCTGTCCCTGGGCATTCTTCCTATCACTAATGTTCCCTGACATTAGTTTTTTTACAAAGGGTAAGGCTTAGACTAAGTTCATAATGTTCCCAATCTCCTTTGCTTGGTTTGTCTGCAACACAAGGGGCAGTACCAGGTGCTGTTACACTCATTTTCTCCTGGCCAGACAGCTGCTGCCTTTTCTCTGCCTGGTAGTTAAGGGATGAGTCCCCTCTGGGTTTTCTTTGTTCTTCAGTAAAAGTAAAAATTGAATGTCTCTCCATTACCCAACATACAACTACCACCAAAACTGTTGAAAATTCATATGGTCAAGGCCTGTACATTTCTGATCAAGTTGGCTGAAATCAACTAATGAATTCAAAATATACTGGAAAGGAAAAAGGGAACCAACACAGACAAGCAGAAGCACAGGCAGAATACATCACTTAAGCCTAATTTCCTTCTGAAATCAAGGTAAATGTTGAGGATTTTTTTATAAAATGGGTGCTGTTCTTTTTATTCATCTATATTGATGCTACTAAAATTAATTTAGTTTTCATAAATGCCTAAATTTGACAGTTCTGGAAATTAAATGTCTCTACTGTTAGAACAAAGCACTGTGTCAGTAAAGAGGATCATGGTCACAGTTCCGCTAGTAAGCTCCCTGTCCATCCTGGTGTGTGCCTGCAAAATGTGATGGAAAATGCTGGTGTTTCCAAAGGGGTTTGCCTTTTTTGGTTTTTTTGGTTTTTTTTTCAGCTGATAAGCCTGTGAAGTGGAGTTCTAACTCTGTTGGGAAATAGGGAAATAACGTTCTTCACCTAGAGCTTAAATTATGTGGGAGCCTGTATTTTGAGCTGTTCGGGTTTTTTTGGTTTTTTTGTTTGGTTTTTTTAATACCTATCTGTAAAGCAGGTGTTTATTTATGTAGCATTTGTTTGGCTTGTTTCTTAAACTCAGCCATTTGACTGCTTTGTACATGGATGGAATATGTAACATTTTAACATTTACTGGGTGTTGACTGACATTTCTGTGACTATTTTCAGGGAGACCAAGGAATTAGAGGCCATCCTGGGCCACCAGGGCCTCCAGGATGGGGAAGCATGGGTCCCAAGGTTGGTATGGTGTGATGTTGAAGGTTTTTGTGCTCTTTTGTGATGCTGGCAGCCAGACCCTGATCTCTCAGACTCCAAACGATCTTCATCGGTTGTTGATTTACCTTGGTGCAGCTTCAGGAGAAATCAAGCATGTAAACATGGTCACTAACCATACACTTCTACCAACTGGATTAGGAATAGTTCTAATGGGATGCAAATTGCGTTTGCAGCTAAGCTTTATGAGATTACAACTGGAGATTGAGCAGAGCTATCAAGCTGGTAAATTACTTAAATGATGCATTTCTTCTGCTTGTATCTATTCTGTTTCCAAGATATTATTTCATGCTGGAAAATATGTTAAATGTGAGTTTTATGTTTGCAATTTTTGCTCAATCAAATTAAATCCAATTGATTTTGTTATTAAAACCATTAGGAAAGAAATATGAAAACAAAAAGTTAATTCTATAAGCAACCAGCATGCAACATCTGGGCAATTTTTCCTCCCTCCACTAAAGTGATTTGTAGAATCAATAAGAATGTCAATAAGAGACATACTGATAAGAAAAGAAATCCAGTACTTTCCCGGATTTCTTTATTACAGGTAGATCCATCATTTCTTTTTACAAAGCCAGTGAGAAGAAACATTGTGTATATTTCTCCACTTTCTGTTAGTTTATAGATACAGCTTTGTAACTTTTTGCATAATAGCAGAGAGGAACAGAACTCGCCAGTGCCATTTTGTATAAAGTAATATCTGAACGAAGAAACATTGCTATTACCAACTCCAAATACACCGTAAACGACAGGGCATGAATACTTTTTCAGGATGTGTCTGATTTTAACTTGCTTCCTGAAAGCTGCAACAATTTCAGTACCTTGGTAAATCGTGGGGACAAATGATTTGAAAAGAGTAAGTCTGGATGACGATGTAGTCCCTCTTCTATGAGGAAAGCCTGAGAGAGTTGGGATTGTTCAGCCTGGCAAAGAGAAGGCTTTGTGGTTGAGATGACCCACCCTTTATGTATATACATATATAAACAGTATTTTTCACAAGAGATTTTATGGAAACGTGACAATTTTTTTTCTGCAGAGATGATAATGATGACTTTTCAAACCTCACTAGTATCTAGAAGTTAAATATTTAGAATTATAAATTTGTATTTCATGATGACCAAGTTTTCTTGTACTTCTGCCTAAATATTCAACATATACTTCTAGGTAATATACATACCACTGAATGATTTCCACTTACTGTACTGGAGCACAGTGATTATTTATTATAAGAGATTAAACAAAAGTCCAACCTGAGCTTGACAGAAACTTTTATGAAGCTCAATCAAATTTTGAAAACTTTTTCAATTAAAAACAGATTTTAAAAAAGGAATATCAGCTGTTTAGTTTTGATGTAATCAAGTGGATATACTTATCTTTGTCACTTTGAAATGTTAGATTAGCCTGCCTGCAAACACAGGGGCTCTGCCTGACTTTGACTGTACGGATACAAATCAGCATGTGCTGCTTTGGCTTTTCTCTCATCCCTTCCCACTTAGGATTTTCTGAATGACTGGTGCTCCTAGAGGCTGTGGCACCACGGGGGCTTGGCATATGCCCATAGTACCCAAAAACTAGCTAAAAGGCCTGGCAGATTTACTTACATTAGGTTTTATTGCGCTGGTCCTTTGTGCCTCTGCCGTTGTGCCTCCCTTTTGTAATTGCACAAAGCTGTTCTGTAGACATGGTTTCTGTCATCTTCTGTGTGGGGAAAAATGATGGAAATACCACTCTGTGTCATGAGTAAATTTTATTCTTTCATTATTTTCAGATTAATTCTTCCTTTACTTTCCTGAGAATTTGCCAAGGATAATTACTAAGACCCACAGTGAGAAACCATGAACCAAGGAACAATTAGAACTAGAGTCTTTGACATGGTTTTATTTTTTACTTGCAGTGACTTTGGGATTATTTCCAGAGTGTTTACCTCCTAATCCTTTTTTGCCTTACTGACTGTTATAGGGTATTATGGGACGTAAAGGCTTGCCTGGTCCACCTGGCCCCCCTGGTATCAGCATACAAGGAGACAAGGTAATCCGGGTTAATGTGATATCTGTTCAATTTCTTCTGAAACTGTTTCTTAAAGAAATTAATTGTATTATTTCCGTCTTTGCCACTAGATCAGTGAACTCCTGCAAATATTAATTTTACACTTAATATTCACAAGATAGCAATATTTACTTTATTTGCTGTGTTTTCAGTATTGTTTGCACCCAATTGCTCTCCCATTGTTCTTGCCATTAAAGATTTATTTAATCTGGAGAAAAAAGGCTTTTCTCTGCCACATCTTATTGATTTACTTAGATCTGTAGTTTCCTCTGTGTTGCACTTGTAAAAGGCAGTAACAGAGATCTACTTTGGCAAAATAAGTTAAACCAGAATCTAGGAATATAAATGAAATTAGGCAGTCTCCCACATAATTGGGTTTTTACTCACCCAGTTCCAGCCACAACTTCTCCCCTTAAAAGGAGAAACACAAACATGACAACATATTCTGAGCACTCAGTTGTTAAATTGCCTTGTCCTATATGCATGGAAAAATTTGTTAAAACTGGAGGCTCCAGTGGAGAACAACCCAAGTTTCTCTTGTTTTCCTTAAATCAGTTTGCTTAAAAGTGAGCATATGATTGAATATTTCCGTTAATCAAGAGTATTGTGCTCAGGTCTCCAACTCTAAGTGGTCAACCACCAGTGATTCAGTAAAAGGGGCAATATTCTACTTTGGTTAGAAAAGGTGCCTCTCCATACTGTGATTTTGGGTGTAGATAGTAAAACCATGAGGGAATTCAGTGGCAAATAGGTCTTCATTGGAAAACAGTGACAGTCTGCAACCAGTAATCAAATTTAAGAAAATGTATGTTGTTTGCAAAAAGATTCAGAGGAGAATCTTTCTTTAGTCCATTGTGGAATTACTTCATACAAGCTTTACCAGAAAAGCAGATTCCTTCAGAATTTATTTTGTTCAGGACTTTGATTACATCTTCAATGTCTTCCATTTTTATATTTGTGTTCCATTGTTTCTGGTTTTATTCCACAGAAGGCTCTTCCTTTTTTCTCTGAGGTGTTTTACAGCATAAAAACATACTTTATTATGTTCTTTGTTTTTTCCTTATTGTATAACTCCCTTTTATAGGTTCTGACTTATCCTGTTTCCAAACTTTCTTAGACAGAGATCTCTACATGGTTGAGTCATGACTCTTTAGACCTTTGTTTCTGATCTGTTTTCAATTTGGCACTGTATTAATTGTTATCAGTAATCACAAAGCTAATACATATTTTAACGTGAGGACATGAAAAACTCCTTATTTTCTTTCCTCTTTTTCCTTTGTTTGCTGAATCTCCATAGGCTCTTTGTTCTATTCTTGTGAAAACCGGAAAATTTTTTGCCATCTCTCTATCACTTTATGGTATAGGAAAGCTCCTTCCTGTCTGCCTTTAATAAGAATTTCTGCTGACTCTCCAGAATCTAATATTTGGGATATATCTCTGTTAATTCTATGGTATTTGATGTTAATTATAAAAGCACTATTTTCATTCTGGACAAAAATGTTTCAGTAATCAAATGCATCTGATGATACATTAAAAAATATACAGTTTCACAATATTTTTCTGTTCCTGTGAGAAGATAAGGGTTACCCAAAATATACTCAGTGTGCACATATACACCCCTCTCTCTCTGTCTCTCTCTTTATACATATTTAGATACACACAGATGTATATCTGGATGTTATGTTTACACTGCTATGAGTAAATATCTAAAGCATGTTTTACTAGTGTAGAGAACTCAGTTTCAATATGGAAGATTTCCAGTGGAAGAACACACTGACACACTGTCAAACAAAGGCATGTTTCTAGTGCAAGGATGTTGGAAAGTAATGTGTCCTTGTTATGAAATGTCTTTGGGTTTGAGAACAAAACTGTAGTGATATGGTTGATCAAACTCAGCTGCTGCTGTTTCTGTAGCATTCCGTGAACTGTGCAGGTACAATTGGTCTTGTCATTTCTATTTTCTTCCCTTAACAATTGCCTTGTAAAATTATGATTATATTTATATAATTCTTGGGAACAGCTTATTTCTGAGCAACTTTTGAAACTGTCTTGCTCTGGCAGTGCCAGTTTCTTCCACACATAAATGCTTGTTGATCTTCTTCTTGTCCTTGTATCTCTTCACACATCAAACTTCATTCTTTTTGGCCACTTTTTATCAGATTAAAGATACTCTGCTCCTGCATTTGAGCTTTCAATATCACTCCAAATATTTTTTTTTATATGTAGAGAGAGATCTTGGTCTGTATATGGTAAGAACAGAATGCCAAAAATGAGTTGGTTTTCTAGTTACTGTATGTTGATAGCTATATTCACAGATCTTCTTTCTTTGTGCTTGGTTCCTTTTCAAAACCACAGTCTAGACATTCTCAGATCTGCACTCAGTTCATTTTGGTAGTACTGGTAGTCAAGTTTGAATTTAATTATGTACATGGATTGAACTGTCAAAGCCATAAATATTTTTAGATTAGTACAGCACATTTCTTGGGTTTTGCTAAATGTACTGTTATGGAATCTGTGACAAACCTTTCTAATGTTGATTGATATTTGTTGCACAAGTAGAGGAAGCAGGATTTGGTTCTGCAGTTGATGTTTTAAAGGATGAAACTCACATGTGTGCTTGTGAGAAGTGTCAGCTATATGGGTATGAATTTACTTAGAACAGTAGGCCTCATTCAGTTTTCATTGTCTGAACACCATCCTAACAATGTCAAATGGGCAATAACAAATGGCTGCAATAAATCTACACTTTTGTTGTGTCTGACATTCATTACTAGAGAAGAACCACTGGAATACACAACATATCCTGAGTTTGGTCCATATGCATGTGCTCTGCAGTCCTGCAGAGGTGTTAACCAGGAAGCTGTGAGATGACCTGAGAGGGAAGGAGAGTCTGTCCCAGATCTGAACAGTAAGCCTTGAAACAAACCGCCACACCATTTCATTGTGTTTAGAGGCCATTTGCTTTAACACCTAAACAAGGTCCCCAAGAAGCACAATCCCGCTAAAAAGTAACTTAAAGGAAATTAGATAAAATAGTCACTGTGAGTTCCTGTGACAGTGCAAAATAAATTGCTTTGTTCATCCCATCGCCTTGGGAGTATTTCCTGTTTACAGGAAATCCCCCTAGTGCATCAGCTATGTAATGTGATACAGCCACCGTTCTCCAGTCTCCAGTGTCTACATAATTGTATGTGAATTGCTGCTGCTGTAAGAAACTGGGGAGAGAGGAAGTTCTGCTTACAGAGGCAAGAGGCTACTGGATAGCAGGTCAGGGTAGTCCTGGTGGCAAGCAGAGCATTTAATTCCCCCAGTTGGGGCTAGTGGACCAAGAGGTACTCACAGGGCAAGGCTGTGAAAGCAGTGCTCCAGTGGAGATGTGGATGGTGGAGTGCCTTGGATACTTTTCCCCAGCATGGGAAGACATGGTGGCAAAACCACAATGCACCCATGTGCAAGCAGAAGCTTCAGCAGGCTCAGACAGATATGGAATTTGGACAGGGAAAACCATCCATGGACATGACTTGTACACTGTGAGAAGCTGCATCTCATTACCTAACTCCTGGTGAATTCCCAGCTCCTGGGAGGCAGGAACCCTCGGTACAAGGAAGAGAAGGTTGGCTTAGGTGTGCAGTATGCAGCTGTTTCTTTACCTGCAGAAATCCATAAGACCCTATCCAGCTCAGCAGGAGTAGTCAGTGATCAGTCCTGCTGCAATGGTGTACCTTAGGTGATGGCTGGATAAACTTGGAAACACTTTTGTATTTCCTGGTCTATTATGAGCAATATGACCCTTTTAAGCCCATTTGTGAGCACCAATATAAGCATTAAAATAAGATGCTTTAGAGGGACAGGGAGAGCTCTTCACTGAAAAATAGAACTGACTAACCCTGTACTTGCACCTCATAGTCAGGTTTGATACATGTGGTAACTGCTTCTGATCTCACTGACATTCTCTGGAGCTGGTTTTGGTATCTGCATCAGGAACTGCTGTTATGTGAATTATGTATGTAATGTGAATTTTGGTGAAGCATTTATGTACCAGGAAATAAAATCACTTCTATCTGTGTTTAAAATGCATACAGCAGTTGATCTATAAAAAATATTTGTGTTACCCTATTAAATAATGCAAGAAAGTTTCTGGAAGCCAGAAGCTATGAAGAATTTTCTGTGTGTATATAACAGCCATGTTTTATAACATTGTGTGCCCACACTGCTAGCATGAGCATGCTTTTTAAGTCTAACTACATACAGAAGGGCATGTGTAGCAATCCTTATAAAAAGTTTTGAGCTTTTTAACTGGACTGATAGTGTCTTTTGAAGTAATAGCAGAAAGATGTTCTGCTTTCCACACTGTGAAGAGTAGAGATGTATTCTTAATTACTTAAGATCAGAAAAAAAAGTCTGCCCTGCAGAGGTCATGAATGTGGTTTTTTTAGAGGAAACTTTGGTTTGGATCTCATTTTATTGCTTGTAGACAGGATGAATAACTCTGAGCCTCTGAGAGATTATTTTTGTCTTTCATCTCTTTCAGTGGAATGACAATTTTTTATTTTATTAATCAGGCATAAACTCTTCATAATATACTTTATAAGGTTCTCATGTATGTTCAGAATCATAGCCAATTGCTTGTTTTTATTGCCTTAGACCACTTTTTTCTTGAAAATTGTGTGCTTCATCCCATAGTATAATATCTGGCTTTTTCTATGATGCAGAGTGTTCAAAAGTGAACGAGACAGCATAGATTTTACATTAATTTTCAGTTAAACTTAAATGTCATATTCTGTTCAGGGAGAAAAAGGAAATAAAGGTTTTCCTGGACCAAAAGGATCAGTAGGAACTGGCCTTCCTGGACGAAAGGTAAATCCTAGGTTTGCAGTAAGGAAAAAAAAGAGAGTTTTCTTCCTTTATTGGTTATTTGGTGTGACAGGTCTTTGAAGAGAAACAGAAGACAAAGACATTACCTTATATAACTAGCAAGGTAAGTACCTACTACTCACTGTCAGCTTTGAAGTCTATGAAAATCCTAATGGTCACTAAGGATCAGATTACAAAGTAGGATGCAGAATGAGGTCATACCCATTAGCTGAAGAATAATTCTAAGTTATTAAAACTATCTATTCAGTTATTTTTTATATTCTTCAGGTATTACAAAATATCCTTTTACTTGCCAGGCTTCAACAAAAAAAGGGAATTTCTTTATGATTAATGTCATTTAAGGGCTTTGACTTGTTTTTTAATATGATGATTGAAGCCCAAGCTTGAATCTTTCCTTACTGAATAACTTCTTGTTAGAATTTCCTACACTTAACTATTTACATCTAACAGCTTGGGAGTTTTTATGCGAATATAAAACTCTTTCACAGAGACTCAAATTTCTGCCTCCTAGTTCTATTTTCACTCACATTCCAAATGCCACATACTATAATAATAACTAGCTATATTTTCACTGATCTTCATATTCAGCTTGTATGTTGACTAATCTTTGTAATCCAATGTAAATCTCTCCAAATACTCACTTTTTTGGTTGCTATTACTATAGCAGACTTGTCATACATGAAAAGGAATTGTTTAGTTCAGAAGGAATTTCCTATATGTACCATAAAGATCAGGTTTTAGTGTATCTAAGTGTAAGAAAGTAGCACCACCACCACAGTCAGCAAATCATATTTGCTTTCCTATTATTATTAATGCTGACATTAACTTAGATGATGTTAGATTCAATTCATGGACGAGTAATGGAAAGTAATATCCTTTGCTGGATATTATGATTTTGTGAAATAGAATAAGAACTGTTTTCCAAGACCTTAGTTTAAACTGGTTTCCTTAATGTTGTGAAGGAGCTATTTACAATTATCAGATTTACAACAGTTTGAATAAGATCAGAATCAGACTGATAATGTCAAAAGGGTTCTTTAAAACCGGTAGCAATCACCACAGTGAAGGCTATCACACAGGAGTTACCTGTTTGATTCCGTTGGCTGGGTAATAATGAGGAATAATATCAAAATGAACAGTAATCTAGATAAATTCATAAACTTCAAAATTTCAAGTGAAATGTAAGCTGGTAAGTAATTTCCAGAGAGAAGTAAAAAAAAAAACTGTCCTGCACAATCTTCATCTTGAAAAAATGTCTAATTTAGCACCTGAATCTTATTTACAATGTTTTATTCCGTTATGTGAAAACTCTCTCAGAATGTTGAACCCTCTCACTCTTTGGAAGTCAAAAAGCCTAGTCAGTTGAGGGAAAAAGTGCAAAATTTCTTCTAAATGTGAAACATTGTATTTTCCAATGGGTTTAACAGTCCAAGCATGCCTCTTCATTTGTCTTTAGAAAGCTCACAGGTTTTCATTTGGCTTTTATGCAGAGCTGCTGTGAGTTTCAGCACAGTGGTTGACCTGAAGCAGTTATATCTCTCCTTGAGTCTAAATTAACATAGATCCAGTTTACAAACATTGTTTTAGAATTTAAGAAAATCAAAGGACAGAAAATATTATATATTCTTGACTTTTGCATACAGATGTCTTTACTCCCTCTATGGAACTAAGGTAATTTTTCATTAAAAAATCTTAGACACTTTTACTGTACGTTTTGCTTTCTCTGAGAGCCTGCATTCTGATATTCTCCTTATAATTCATACAAGATAAACCATTAATAAAAAAATCAAAAGAGCCAGAAAATTTATCTTTAAAGCTCAATGAGCCTTACTTTCAGCTCTGACAATTAACAAAACTGGAGCTATGATTGTATTTAATACAGTTGTTTTAAATTAGGGAGACTATGGTGATAAAGGTGATCCAGGGAGCAAAGGTGCCAAAGGAGAAATTGGAGACCCAGGACCTCCAGGGCCAAGGGTAAAACATGTTTTAATGTTACTTAAATTTACACAATAGAAACTAGAAAAATTTGGCTATTGTTAATTTTCTCGCTCTACGTGTTTTCAGGGAATTGGGGGAATAAAAGGTGAACCTGGTCTTTCGGTAAGTAGGTAAATAAATTATTTGTAGCAATAGTAGTTCATCTGGGGAATATATTTAAAGGTTATGTGATCTTACACAAGGCTGTTTATGAGATACTTCATTGCCTATATTTTTGTAATTAAATAAATATTTCAACATTCTTAACACTAGATCACACAACAAATTAATACTCTTTTTCAGAGGGAAGATGTTATCAGACTTATCAATGAAATATGTGGTAAGCATTCCAGTATGGAAAAAAAGTAGTTGTGACAAAACACAGTGTATTTATATTGACTGAGTGGATTTTTCCTCCGCGTGTTTTTGTGTCAGGATACCACTGCTATGGAAACAATGCTCACTAGGTTACCAGAGCTATATCTAAACTAATTTGGTCCAGCTCTGTTTCTGTGATCAATACCAGTAACTAGAAATCAATTAATTAACTGAGTTTTAACTGTGTTAATCTGATGTATGAGTTCAACTCATTTTTTGAAGGTGGTTTCTCGTAAGATGTCTGAAATGGTTATTCTTCTAGGCTGTGGTATCAAATGTAGAGTGACACCACTGGAACTAGTATTCGTCATTGACAGCTCAGAAAGCGTTGGACCAGATAACTTCAATATTATCAAAACCTTTATGAAAACATTCATTGACAAAGTTTCGGCCAACCACGCTACAACCCGCATTGGAATTATCAACTTCAGCCACAGGGTGGACCTGGTGTCTTCTCTGAAGCAGTACACAAGCAAAGAGTATCTGAAATCAGCTGTTGACAAGATGCCCTACTTAGGAGAGGGCACATACACAGCTTCTGCTATCCAAGAGGCCATTCACCTATTCCAGGCCGCTCGCCTGGCAGTAAGGAAGGTGGCTGTTGTAATAACAGATGGACAGGCTGACAGTCGTGATAAAGTACAACTGGATACTGTAGTAAGAGAGGCTCATGCTACAAATATTGAGATATTTGTCATTGGGATTGTACAAAGGACTGATCCTCACTACGATGATTTCCTAAAAGAAATGCAGCTCATTGCAACAGACCCTGATGAAGAACATGTTTATGAGATAGACGACTTCATAACGCTTTCAGGTAAAAGAAACTATTTCAGTAAGACGAAACTGGAAATGACCATGTAAGGGAGTTTGGTCTCTCCCATGGCCAGGCAAGGCAGCCTGCTGAGTGGCAGCTTTTATTTCTCTTTTGGAGAAAGCTCGCTCTTGTTTTGCATCACCTTTGGCCAAATGAAACTTGTGCCAAATTTTTACCTCTTGCAGAAACAATAAACCAGTGAATATCAGTTTTCTAAGCCTGGGTCTTCTTTGGGATGCTTCTCTTTTGTGAGAGATTGCATCAGCCTTCCTTCACAGTCCTTTGTGCTTGGCCATAGTTTCATCCTAGAGAGATGCAGATTTCCTTCTGCTTTGACATAACATCTTGAGCCCTTTCTCTTTCTTTTGAGTCTTGTCAGTCTTGGAATCCCTCCACTCTCTCTAACAAGCACTTTCTCTTTTTTTGTTTTTTTTGGGGGGGGATTTCTTTGGGTTTTTTGTTCGTTTGTTTGTTTTCTGAAAGCCATAAAGGAAACCTATGCTTTCAGCCTGATTCCAGTGAAAAAATGGTGGAGCCACAAATGAGGGAATGGGATATGATAGACATGGTATATTTCAATGTATGTGGCTTGAAAAAAATCTGTGGCTATAGGTGAAATCAGGAGAAAATCCAGAGGAAATCTATAATGACCCATAAAGAAAAAGGTACATTGATCTAGACTAACTGTAGACCAGCCTGTACTTTTCCTGAGCATAAACTTTTTCTGCTATGCTGAGATTATGAATGAAGTTAACTCTGGACTGAAGGCATTAAGACGAATCCAGGCTAAAGTCTCATCCATGCTGGGATTAAATTTAAGGCTTAGACTCCAGCATTCAACATAAAAATATTCCCAGTCCCTGTTTTTTTTTGTTTTTACAAATAAGTAGAAAACTGTTTCCCAGTTTTTCTTTCTTACATGTAAACACTTCCTTGCCTTCACCCTCATTTTTTTGACTGTTTTTTTTCTTCTCTGCTATGTTTTCTACTTCCTAGAGGGACTTGGTATTTTTATCTGTTTCTTCTTAAAAGAATAACATGGCACTAAAATAAAATAATTCAAACACTGTGTCACTTTATTACTTTTCATTTGCGTTTTGACATAACTACAGAAGATGGTCTTTTACAAGTCACTGTGATGAAAGGTTTAGGGTTGATACTGCACTAAAAGCTTGTTCTGAATTATTGTGACTTCTTTTCATTACCCTTTTAAATCAACATTATTTAATTAATCTTTTCAGCTCTTGAAAATAAACTGATCACAAAAATCTGTGAGAACGAGTCTGCAGTGTACACCAGAAAATACAATATTTTATCTCCATCTCCCAGTCTGGAAACTGAAATTTCCAGGAAAGATGCTAACAGCCAGTTACCTAAAATGACCACTTCAGAGATTGACACGCTTCCTACAGAAGGAATTAGTTACCCAGTGAGTAAAGAAGTAACAGTTGTCAAATGTTTTTTAATTATGTGTCTTTATTTGAATTCAAATATTTTACCATCTTTATTTCACCATTCACCTTTTCATATGCAAATAACATGCCATTTGACTAGACCAAAGTGTTTGAAAAAAATTTTTAGTGAACTTATTGCAGAGAAAAAACGTTTATAAAAGAAATGGGCAAATACTCTCTCTCAGTTGCGATAAACGTTAACAGTCCTCATGTTTTTTGTAGGTCCTGTTCATCTTAGAAGTGAGTTAAAACTCCTACATTTCTATTGTGGCAGGTGCACAATGGATAAAACATTTATTTATGTGCAAGCTGATGATTAATACAATGCTCCTTGTCGTGGTCATGCACATTCCAGGTTGTTCCCAGACATATTTCCAAGTTATTAACCCTTTGGTGTTGTTTCACTTTCCACATTGGGCTGTACTTATTTGTTACTCTTTGTCCTCCAGCTTTAAATTTCTCCTGACCTGCACTGAGGTTCTGTACTCCAAAGCTGTGCTGCTGCACAGACAGACAGGACAGGGAGGGCTTTATTGCAATAGATAATATTTTCGGCAGGTGTGTATCACCTCAGCTCCTTTATTAGGTCTCTAGTATTTTTCAGCCCCTGTCAGAGCATTGGATTAGGATATTTGTCAACTCTTTAGAACATTTTTATTGCTTTGCCCAAAATAGTCCATGATAAAAACTTGGAGCTTTACAAAATGAGCTTTGCTTGCCCTTATAGCCAGATGGATAAACTGGTTGAAATATATGGTGCACCAACCTCTGTAGCTGCATGGAATGGATATAGCAGACCATGATACTGGTATTCAAATATTAATTTAATACAGATTAGAGATAATTAAATATTACCGACTTACTGTAGAGGAGCCAATGGATTATCCACTATTAATCCTTGTAGTATTGTTTATATAATATCATTCATAATTAAATAGTTCACTTTCAAAATCTAGCTTAATTTACAAGAATAAGAGCTCCTTTGGTAGGTGTGAAAGATTTAGGTTTTAGGCTTATAATACATCTAGATAGATCTGTGAGACAATGAGGGTCAGTTTTGACATTCTATATTACTAAGAAAACTAAATGTAAACCTAGATAGATGCTGATTTTATAACACATGATAAGAATCAGAAAGGATTCTTAGGTAGGTTCTTAAATACATCTGATAGGACTAGATGCTCACACACTTGGTTCTGGGTGCCTGTTATGGTTTAATCTTCAAACTGTTGAACTACTGTCATAAATAAACACAGTCTTTTTGTAGAACTAGAAAAGAAATGCAAAATTCAAAGGACTAGATGAATTGTCTGCATATTTACATTTCACCAAGACTGAGTTCCAATCACTCCAAAGAGTTTTCTTAAACTGACTTTGTCAGTGGTGGCCTGTAAATGGGAAGATATTGAATAGAATCAAATTGCTTTCTGTTCTCAGTAGGTAATCAATGTCTGATTAAGGCAGTTATTTGTACTATACTGTACTATGGACCTTGTGAATCTTCTTGAATACGCTAAAACATTAAGCAAATCTTAATACAATAGTTGCAATTTGAAGAACAGGGTTGACTGCTTAACACTTCTATCAAGGTAAATTCTAAAATTCTAATGATTAGCAACTGGCTGTTAGCCAGAAATAGGGCAGATTGAAGATGTCAGATCATGCCCAATGAGTGTACAGGATGTTAAGCAGCAGTGATGTACCCAAAAATTCCTCCCATTTTTTATTTGTATTGCAGACTAAGTAGTGACTGGAATTTAGCTTAAACTGAATGAATTCAGCTTAGTGGCTACATCCAAGGCATTACTTTGCCTCTTCATTATGCTGTCATTGTCAGAAAATTATGACTCCATACTGAGTAATCACAGTAACCAACCTGCTGTTAATAGTATTTTTTCACACATTGCATAGCAGAAGTTTCCTGCATAATTCTATCCCTTTTTTTTTTTCTTTTTTGTCATAGCATCAATACCCAGGCATAATTTTAAGATTTTCACTTTTTTTGCAGCACAGTCCACCACAGTCTGGATACACTGAGCCTCTGCCATCTTCTCAGGACCACACTGTGACCCCCTCTGCTCACAGAGAATCTCTACTTCCCTCAGTTGATAACATATCTGAAATCAGACCCCTAAGTCCAGCTGTCAATCCTGTCTTCAGTGGAACTTCTACTGAAGATCACCAGCCAGCTCTGTGGCAAACACAGGTAGCAACAACCCAAAAAAGTGAGTAATAAATACTGGTCATAGATACTGGGTAGCAAGTCTGTACCAAAAAAAAAAAAAAAAATTATGAGCAAACCCCACTCCCTCTTCCAATATAATTTAGATTTTCTTACTATTTGTATTTCTGGGTGCCCTGTCTACAGACATCACACAGAGACAGATTTTCAGACTCGGATGATACCCTTGTGTACCAGCTGCATGCTTAGGTATTTAAATAGCAGCTTGATTCTTGCATCAGGATTTAGGCAGTCTTGTTTCCAACTGATGCTGTATTTTTCAGGCCTGTTCAGTTAAGTCATTAATGGAAGTGGAATTTGGCCAAGTACTGCAAGAAAGAAAAGAAAAAAGGGATGCTTTTCTTAGTAAAGGAGGCATTTCTAAGATAACATAACTTATTCCCAGAATCCAAGCTAACTTTTACTGATACACTTTCAGATCCAAGATGCTTGGAACCCATGAAACCAGGGGATTGCTGGGACTACGTGGTGAAATGGTATTATGACAAGAATGGCAATTCATGTGGCCAGTTCTGGTATGGAGGTTGTAATGGTACCAACAATAGATTTGAAACAGAAAAAGAATGTCAAGAAACCTGTGTTGATTGATGAATAAGTAAGTTGTCTCCTTCAGGTCCTCCCTCAATTGCCTCTTTTCCTGCTTATGTTTTATTTTACATTAATCAAAACTCAATTTTCCTTTTCAACTCACAGCCTATGCGCTCAATATCACAAGGTCCTTCTGTAATTTCTTGCAATTTCTGCAATTTCAGTCATTCCTTTTCTTTACTACTTTATTACTAGTGCTTAACTACTTTACAGGAGCACAATATTGTCACCAACTCCAACTTTGCTACTTCCCTATTTACTCCCTTCTCTAGGTCCCTTATTGAGTAGGACAGGCCATGGCATCTTCACTGACATCTCTCCACCAATTCTTTATCCCATTTCTTTTGTTTTATTTTTTTCACAACTTACAAGACTGTCCCTCTCAAATCAGAATAACTTTTATTAGGGGAGGGACCTTACATTTTGGAAATCCAGTCAGACTATACTGGCTATCTTAGATCCATATGCTTAGTGAGCAAGGCATGGCCTTCAGAGAGGTTTCTTATCAAGAAGTGTATAACTGCCTTTACAAAAGCCATATAACTCATCCCAAATGACTTGCATTAAGTGCTCTATTTCAACTTTCACTACAGGAAAATTTAACGGAACTGCAGATCATGTTTTTCAAAACTTTTCAGGAAAAGTAAACAATTTCTTATTTATTCTAGAAATGACTTCTGTTGGGAACTTTTGAAGCTGGAAGTTCATGTGTACTGAGGAAGAACTGACTGAGAAGAATCCAAAATGATGTGTTAGCTTGAAATTATTACTGCTGTGCTTTATTGCTTTCCCCACTACTGTCTGCACATTAACCAGATTCCTGTACAATGTATGTTAACTGCAACACCATTGCAATAACTTGAAGTCACACATACACACGCACACACACAAACACAGGGAGATGCCTTTTCCCTGCAAATTTATACTAAACTGATACTATTTCACATGGGAATAATGAGGTTCTATTTTTAGGATTAAAATGTCAGAAGTGCTTACACTTAGTTTTTAATTACAAAGGTCTCTTAGTCTCATGGAAGAATAAAATATGCTCTAGTTTTAAACAATAGTAAGTGGTTCCTGAAATTAGCACTCTTAATACAACTTTTAGAGACCTAAATAAAGATTTCCATTGATTAGAGTTCTTCTTTGGAATGTAAGTAACACAGGTATAGGTAATTAGAGAAGGGTTTTGTCCATTATTAAAGCAAACTTGGATTAACATCAACATAATAGTTTCAATTATAAAGGTTGGACCTTCATTTAGAATTACTTTAAAAACAGGGTTTTTCATGTCCTTTAGGGCGGTCAGTACATTTCAATTTCTCAGGGCCTCTGGGTTAAAAAGAAAAAAAATTATTTCACTCTAATACTTTAATGTATGCTACTAAACTAAAAAAGGGAAAAGCACTGAAAGATATTAATGTTTACTTATATCCTTTCTACTTATAGCCATAACCCTATATGAGCACATTGTTAAAACTGAAAATGATTAAAATTGGAAGTAATACCTGATAAAGAGTCAAGCATCGTTATTTCTTTGTGAACAAAAGAATAGAATCTACACAGGCAATATCAACAACTCTTGATATGTTCAAACAATTTCTTGCATAATTTGAAAATAAATGACAGGATGTACTTTGCAAAATTAACTCTTTTGCAGCAAATAAGATGCAAAACCTAATTCTGTGGAAATCTGTGCTTGGAGTAGAGTTTAAAGTTTTAAACTTTTTTCCCAAAAATATGGCCTTTTTAAATAAGTTTCGTGTTAGAAATGAAAAAAACTGAGAGCAGCCCCAGAAAACATCCTATTCTTATACTCAGAACTAAAATTATGATAATATGATCATAATAACATGGTGAACACTCAAAAAACCTCCAAGGACAAAATTAATTTCTGTGTGACATGGAACAGTAAAACTGAAAGATATTGCCTTGTACTATGCATACTACAAAAATCCCTGTAATCCTACCAGGAACATTTTACATTTAGCTGGACCTGGAAACTCACAGCAGCAAAGCCCACTGGAATTGCAAGAGAGAGTAAGAATCTGCAAGATCTTTCAAATCTGTTCTAATCTTGTGTGCTTGGGCAGTTGCTTCAAGGATGGGATTAACTGTTTGTTCAGCTCCAGATCTCCAGACAAAGATATACATCTGTCTAAGAAATACTGGGGATAATGATTTTGGGGATAAATATGAAGATGTAGGTTATGGGCTTGCAATATCTTCTCTAATGCTTAGTGAAAACCTTTCTGGTAAAGCTGACAAGTTTTAGTAATTACAAATAGTGACATCATTTGTTACTTAACAAGATTATAAAACAAGCAGTTACTTTTTAATATGCGTACAAGGACTCGTTTTAATGCCATTAAATCAATGCTATACAAAAGACCACTGCTTTATTTTCCACTTTCATCTAGAGTTGACTAAATCTTTTGCAACAAAGAGGGAAAAGTGGAGGCTATAAGGTTGTTTTAAGAGTTGTATGCTGTTCAAATCAGAATATCCTGAAATGAGCATCCTTTTTTGTTCAGGTCTTTCTGAAGAAAAGAAAGACTCCAAACTCTGAATGCACAAACACTGAATGAACAAAACAGACTACAAACTCTGAATGTATGCTCTGCTATTTAATAAACCATAAAAAAGCACATAAGTCCCTCCTGAAAAGACTCTTCAAATCTGTATCAGCAGTGACTGGCAGCACTGGCTCCCATGTCTCCTCACCAACTCTGCCTTCCCAAGGGTGTCATGGGGCAACAAACCAGGAGAGGGCCCTGCTTGCCAAACATCCACTCTTTTATTCCCTACTGGTGTAAAATCATACATCATTGCTGAGAGCATTACAGTTTTCACTGGCAAACAAACCCTTTATTTTTGTCAAGGGCAAATATTAAAGGCAAGAATAGTTTAATCCTTAAATCACTAAATCTTCTGCTAGACCAGGCCAAATGCTGTAAACCATAAAAGCAAAGAGTAATGAATAACAGACTTTTCTATAGAACTGATCATCATAAGATAAATTCTTTTTCTGATATCCTTGATTCTAAGAGTTCAGATAGACTCAGAAAATTAACAGTAAAATAGTATTCCATTAGCTCAGCATATGAGCATGCACTCACAGACCAGCAGCAGCTTTTCACTTTGAGAAGCTCTACCAGTCTCTTGTTCACAACTATCAAACAGAATTCATCTTTTGCCTTAACCCAGTTCACTCACTGTCTGTCCCTAGGACTCATTCAGACATTGATAACACTGCATCTGCATTGCCTATCCTGCTGTCTGCACACTTCTGTTGCTTTTACATCTTCAAATTTCCTCTCTGTTACCCTAAATTGATGGAAGATATGCAACATTTCCTGCACTTCAGTTTTGAACATCCTTGGAAAACTGATTAACTGATTAATGTTTCCTCATTTGGAAGTTGCCATCAAATGCATTCCTTGAAGGGAAAAATGGAAAAAAAAATAAAAATAAAGAAGAAGAAAAAGATTAATTAAAAATTATGCTATTGATAGCATGGCTGAGGCCAATATCCACATTTGTAAAGAAACATTTTATGGACAGTATAGGTTTAGTGCCACAATCCCACACATCCTGGGTTGCTTCCTGAGCTCTTTTGATACCATCTGTACATAAAGAACACCCTTCCCAAAGCTTGCAAGGGCATCACAGCACAGTTACGAGCATGTTCTCACAGGTAACCTGATGATTCTTTTTTATTAACAGAACAAATAACTCCTCCTCCTCCACCCCTCAGTGAAAGGGCCAAAGCATTCATGGGCAGGTGTGTGGCCTGGGACACCCCAGCTCTACCAGCAAGCAGAGCGATTTTTTTGATGACGAATGAACTGTAGGTTCAGCACTGAGGTCTTAGACATTACTGTTATTCCTCCTGCAGCTTCTTACCTTTCATTCTTTAAAATCATTTTTGTCTCCCTAGGCTGACCTTTTACCTTCCCAGTTGTAGAACTCTTCCAGGTGCTGCTGAAGCCAATCTGCAGCAGATCAAAGTTTTGAAATTCCACAGGCAAACGTAAGCAGACATCTCAGCTACCATGCTTGGTAGATAGACAAAGAAATATGAATTATAAATTATATTTGGTTGCTAGATTTTTTTGCTTGAGACTGCCTTAAATATAAGGGTCTTTACTCCCAGGACTATTATTATATATTTTATGAGACAAAATCAGTCCTAAGCTTCAGGGATAAGTGAAACTCAAATTTTGAGCCAAATGCTACTGAAGTGTGACTTTTTTTCCTAACCAGGAATATGTGAAAAATCAGCCAAGTGGGTAAGGGTCTAAAACGTAATCCATAAAGGTTTTCTATTTTGGTATTCTAGTGTATGTAAGGCCTGTTTTAGAGCAATTTGTAAGACAAAAGAAGGAGAGCCCATTGTCCCACAATCCCTGCTTTTAGCAGCTGTAACCTCCCTACACATGGACAGGGAGGGAGAAGGGAAATTTTTTGCATTTTATTGGTTTGGCAAAAGGAATCACCAACATCTGGCATGGCTAACCCTGAAACACAAAGAAACCATTTCTTACTTTAAAAGGAGTGGTCAATAAGTGCTTTGACATTAATAAATCTGGCAAGTACAAGCTCACCATGTGAGTAAAACCCCCAAAGAGTTTTGGATTAGCTTTAAAATAACTCAGCTAATCCCAAATGCTGCTGGAATTGTTTTGACTGGTGCTCCTGTCTCAGCAGCTTAAAGCTTTCAGGACACTTAAAAAAACATGCCAGAGCAGTAAATAAATGATCAACAAATCAAAAAGACCCCCAGGATGTGCCTTCAGTAGCAGGGGTTGGGAAGAGGGGCAGCAGGGGAGAGAGGTGCTCAGCACTGGACAGCATGAATTCAGAGAAGGATTTCAGGGACTTTGTGGCCTGGTTGCTGCCTGCTGCCCCTGGTGTGCCTGGGGCTAGTGAGCACACAAGCATGGGTGTGGGGATTGAAGCTGGGGACAGATTTTTCCATGGAAAGCAAATAGCTAGTAATTCTTCTGAATTACTTTCATGACATAATTGTCAATTTAAGCTACTTCTTACTTCATTCAGGGCAACTCCCTAGTGCATCATGTTTTCTCAAAGGATAGAAACTATCAGTTTTAACTACATTGTAAATTAATAGGTAAGATTTATTTCTGCTGACCAGAGAGGCAGTATTTTCAAATTAATTAACACATGATGAGATTCACATATAAAATCTGGGTTTGAAGATTAATAGTTTCATTTCAAGGTCCCGCAGAGAACTATGACTGGATGTTTTTAGTCTGCATACCACGTAACTGAACAGATCGTAAGTGACTTGAGGCAAAGGCTGCCAAAATACACAGTATTTGTAATAACTGGAAAGTATACTGATGAGGGCAGTGCTGGAGGCAGCATCATGTTCTGCCTGAAGGGAACAATCATGTTTCCAAGTAGAAACCTTCTGTTCTTTTTCCCTATATAATCATACAGTCAATCAAAAGTCCATATAATCATTCATTTCCATATAGTCAATCAAAAGTCACTGTACTTGCTGGACATTATAGAGGATACAAGTCAATGTGTCTGAGTGAAAACTATCCTTTGAGCAGAGTTGTTGAGAATTTAGCAGCCACATGTCAGGCTTTTTTTGAGAATTTTTTTACACTCTCAGTGATGTGGCTGATCTGTTTACAGTTCATAAGCTGGTTGAAGCTCTTTCCTTCTTAAGAGGAGAAAATCATCCAACATAGGTCCCACCGAATAAGTTATAGGTTATCATGGAGTAAGGCTGTTGTACTGGTCCTCAAGTCAAGCATAACAGAACATGTTATGTCACCAAGAAGATATCCCAGCATCTTAAATGATTCAGTTGCAGTACAGGGCCCTAAGGACCACAGTGTTATCCTGCAGTGCCACCAGGAGGAAAACAACAAAATGCCTCTGTAAAACAAACAGCAAGACATCAACAGATTTTTAGAAGGAATATTGAAGTAACAACTTCCAAAACTCAGCTCAGCAGCAGAAGCTGCTTAAATTGCCTCTTAATTCATCTCACAATTTAAATTTTCTACCAGCCACTGTAGCTGCTCCTTGGTCTCTTTGGCAAATTTGTAAGTTGTCTTACAACCGTCTTAATCTGAACATTGTGCAAGCAGGATGTTCCACAAACGAGATTCTGAGCATTGCAGGGTCAAGGTATTTGCACCAAGCAGGAACACAGCTGTAAAAAGAGCTTGTATGCGCTGTACCATAGTATGAAAGCCTATGCAACATACCCCATAATCACATTGTGCATCCCCTTGCAGAGCCCCATTTCATCTATAACCATTGCAATATTGCTGAATCTAGTAAATCAAGAAAAAAAAATAAAATCTAACAATCAATCAACAGATAAAAAGTGAAAGGCTCCAGAGCTCATGAGCTGGTGTCCAAGGCAGAGCAGGAGGTATGAGACAGGAGTAAAGATCTCCATGTCTGCATTTGGATTGTGCCTCGATACACCCCGGGACACAGGCTGAACCTTCCCCTCCAGTCAGCTCAAACTAGCCATGGCCCAGCACACCCAGTCTCTGCAAAGCTTTCTGACATTAGAGCCCTGAGAACAAGGCTTCATTCAGAACATCATTTCACTCAACTCCTCTTTTTTTTTCCTTTTTAATTGGTATATTTTGCACAGGAAAATATCATTACTTTTATTTATCTTAGACTTTCTTCTGTAGCATCCTGTTCTGTAATGGGAGCCCACTCCAGCACTACCTATTTATCACACAGCTATAATGGGAGAAGGCAGCATTAATATCAGATCTAGAAGTTATTTGTGATATAAAATATATATATTTTATAATATAATAAATGTCATGTATATTTATAATAATAAATATATATATATTATATAAAATTAATTCAAACAGTTGCATCAGGCCATTTTCACCCTCAGGTGTGTGTTGAATTTTCACACTTGTGACATGCTAGTAGCATTCCTTGGTCTTCAACTTCTTCATGAGATGCAAAGAAGGGGTAGACACTGATCTTCTCTGTGGTGGCCAGTGACAGGACCCAAGTGGGAGTGGCCTGAAGTTGTGTCAGAGGGGATTTAGGTTGGATATTAGGAAAAGGTGCTTCACCCAGAGGGTTGTTGGGCAGTGGAACAGGCTCCCCAGGGAAGTGTCACAGCACCAAGCCTGACAGAGTTCAAGAAGTGTTTGAACAACACTCTCAGGCTCGTGGTGTGACTCTTGGGGATGGTCCTGCATGGGATCAGGAGTTGGACTTTGATCATTATGGATCCCTGCCAACTCAGGATATTCTATGAATCCATGATCTCCACCTCCTCTCAGGCAGTCCACTTGCCAGCTGGTTACCACAGGGTAGTAGGCATTTGTTTAGACATTTCCTCCTGTGGGTCTCAACATACAATTTTTGGTTATTGGCTGTTTCTTTAACTGTACTTTCTTTAAGCAGGTTGCTTCCTGCTCTAATACTGAGCAGATGTATTTGTGAAACAGCAGTGAAATCCTAAATATCAGCATAATGCTGAACTGAACATCACAGGAAAGTATTTCCTGCCTTGTTGCATTTGCTCTCTGTTCTTTATGCAAGTGCTTTTTAAGAATTACAAGTAATTTGTAAGCAC